GGAGGCAGGAGGAGAAGGGGACGACAGAGGATGAGATGGCTGGATGGCATCACCAACTCAGTGGACATGAGTTTGAAGTAAACTCCAGGAGCTGGTGATGGACAGGGAGGCCTGGCGTGCTGCGATTCACCGGGTCACAAAGAGTCGGACATGACTGAGCGACTGAACTGAACTGAACTGAACTGTTAGCTCAGTTGGTAAAGAATCTGCCTGCAATGCAGGAGACCGCTTTGATTCCTGGGTTGGGAAGTTCCCCTGGAGAAGGGCATGGCGACCCACTCCAGTATTCTTGGGCTTGCCTGGTGGCTCAGAGAGTAAAGAATCCACCTGCAATGCAGGAGACCTGGGTTAGATCCCCGGGCTGGGAAGATCCCCTGGAGGGGGGCATGGCAACCCACTCCGACATTCTTGCCTGGAGAATCCCATGGACAGAGGAGCCTGGCGGGCTACAGTCCATGGGGTCGCAGAGAGTCGGACACGACTGAGCACAGCATAGCACAGGCAGTGATTCAGGATCATGATGGACAAAGTAAAGGGTCACTGGCCTCAGAGAGTGAGAGATGCCCACAGACAATGAAGAAGAGTACAAGTAAGATCTCAAAGGGATTTCATAATGCTGTATAGCTCTCCCCAGAAAAAGTCTACTTTTCCACATAATACTGTTATTTTCCCTTTTAAGATGTGTCTTTCAAAATATGTTACTCACTCATATGATCATACTCTTCAAATTAGCAATTTTCTTCTGTAAACCTAGCCTAAAAATGCCTTAAATGAGAGGGGAAAAAATCTATATTCTTTTTTATATTAGCTATAATTTTTTAACTATAATGACAAATAAAAAATATCCTAATATTCAATAATTTAGAAAGGAAAAGACAACAATGACATAATTCCTCAAACAACTATTTTTCAGTAATTAAATATCATGACTGCAAAACTATTTGGAGAAGTCTAGGAATTGAATCCACCAGTTCTAAAGTCACAGAGACCTATTCTAGTTCTGGCTCCCTCTGCCATATCTTATCTGTGATTCCTGGTATATCATTACCTCATTTTCCCAAGCCTCAATATGCTCATCTGTAAAATGGAGATAATGATCCACACTGAACAGGATCAGTGTGAGGATTCAATTAGATGTGACAATATAAAGAAAACATGAAGACGGTGCTACAACCATAGCAGCTGTTCAAAAAATGTAGATACTTATCCTCATCAATAGATTTGTTAATAAACTTAAGGAAATGCATGATGTCCTAAGAAAATACAAATTATAAAATTAAGCTTAAAAGTTGAGTAGACCAATTACCTTTTAAGAAATAGAATTGGGTTTAAGGATGTGTCTACTTTTTAAAAAAGGCATTAAGACCAAATGTTTTCATAGCTATGCTATACTGTCTTTCGATGAACAGACAATTCCAATTTAATGGAAACATTTCTAGATTATAGGACAAGATAAAAAACCTCTCTAATTCATTTTAAGAAGCTAGGATAATGTGAATGTCCCTCTGCCATAGAATAAAAAATAAAAAAAGCAATTAATCTTCCACAGATCAAAATCACTCATGAATATAGATGCAAAAATATCTAAATATTAACAAATAGGATCCAGCAGAGTGCCAATAAAACTATCTCCTATGACCAAGCAAATATTCCAGGAATGTGAGGATGATTCAACATCAGAGAATCAGTATAATTTATTATGACAAAGGAGAAAAAGGCAAGTCTATCAATAGCTGCTAAAAGATGGATAAAATACAGTAGCCATTCCTCTTAAGAAATTTTGGTAAAACAAGGCTAAAGTTACTTAAAATATGATATACATTATTTACCAAAGGTAGAAAACATGATTATAAATGACTTTAAAGTCATTTACATTAAAATAAGAAGATGGATAATAATATCCACTGTCACTGTTATTAGCAAACATTATTCTAGAGGCTCTAGCAAATACAATATCATTCAACTGTGAAATAACCAGTGTAAAACTTAAAAACAAGAATTAAAATCATCTAGAAATATTTATTTTAAAATCTTCTATAATTAATAAAGGAATTTAATAAGATGGCTGAGAACAAAATAAATATTTAAAAAAGAGAGAGAAACACCAGCTAGAGAGAATTGGAAATTGAAAAATGCCATTTGCAGTAGCAATAAAAACTATACACTACTTAAGAATAAATGAGTCTTACTTATTAAACTCCTAAGTATATAAAAGCACCAATATATATGGCTCTGTACACCGAGATGTTTGTTGTAGCATTGTTTACAGTGACAAAATAATGGAAATAAAGGGAATGCCCATCGATAAAAGAACAATTAAAACAGATTATTCCTACCATGGATGTTACTCAGTCATTAACAGTGATTTGCTAGATTTATACCAATTAACTTCGAAAGATTGCCATGATATATGAAGTGAGAGGGATGATGCAGAGAGGAAGAGTATGAACCTACAATGACAACCCCTGCCTTACCTGTATATTCTGTATATACATTTGAATGTGGCTCTATGAGGATAGAGAAAGGAATGAAGAATTTCAGCAGACTGTTAACACTGACTGGGTCTAAGGAGGGACACTTGTACCTCTACCCAAATAACCACAATAAAAACAACTTGAATAATGAAGGTCCAATTTGTAAAAGAAAGAAAAATACTTAATACAGGTAAAAAAGTACATATAAAATTATAGGCTCCATTAACAATCAGGTAAAATATTCAAGAGAAAAGTGATAGACTAGCAATAAAATCAAGTGATCAATAAGTAGAGGCATCATAGCTGTTTTTTTCCTCAGTATTTTCTAAAATTTTTATAAGGTGGTTTGGTTGCTTTCATAATTAAATAAATAAAATTTCTAATTTATTTTCTAGTAACCACATACCTTATCTTCTTGAAATCAGTAACTATTTGTACACTTGTGAACTTGATGATGTCTTACCTCTGAAAATGCATAAATTTACATTTTACCTATGACAGATGGCAGTTTGAGGGTTTGTTTTTAATTAGCTGCAGATTAGATCAACAAATCCTCTGGAATTAATTATCCATAAAAAATCCCATTAAAATATGGCTTCACATATTTTAATACTTTTTCCCCCAAATAGTAACAGAAATCACCTCTAACAATTATTTTCAAAGCTGTGTGGTTTTAAGCAGATGACTTATCTTCCCCTCTCCACGCCTTGGTTGCTTCTCCAATAAATGAAGAAGTTGAATCAGATAATTTTCTGTGTCTTTTGGCTCTAACTTTCTGTGATTTAATTATATTCATCATGGAATTCATTAAATATCAAATGATTATTTGCTAAGGAGCAGAAATTTTTCATCTTAGTAATGTTTATATCAGCTATGAAAGAGATTCAGATAGCTAGGGAAGATGCCTTATCTTGATATAATTTCCATGCTCACATGAAAAATGTACAAGATTCCAAAGAGCATATGGCCTTCACTTTGGGCCTTTCTTTAGATCCCTCATTTATAATTGTGCATCTATTGACCAATGCTTTTTCATCCCTTTGTGCCTTCCAGACTCTGTCAATTTATCATTCTGCTTCACAGACCTTAATATATGCATGAAACACTAATTTCTACTTTGAGGTATAAATTATATAGGATAAAAGGCACTCAGTCAAAATACACATTTTGATGAGTTTTGACAAATTTATGCATCTGGACAACCACTACCATAATTAAGCAATAGAATATTTTTATCTACCTAAAAAGTTCCCTGTGCTTCTTCCCAGTTAAACTCCCACCTCCTGCCCTAGGTAAACATTGATCTGCATTTTATCACCAGAAATTAGATGTGCCTTTTCTAGAGCAGTGAACAAAGTTGTAACTTATGCTTTCTCAATCTTGGATAGTGTTGATATATTTTTATTATTTCAATTAGGTTTCTTAATTGCAAAGCAGTAGGAAATAATTGGCTGATTTACTCAGCAAAGGACTTTGTTAAAAGGATATGGACGGCTCATAAAATCTCTGGGAGACTGGAGAACCCAGTTTGGGATTATGCATCCAGCAGCAATGCCCCAAATCATGTAGTACAGCTGTTCTGGTGAGGAAAGCAGCAGCTGGAGTTACCTAAACTGTCTGTACTAGATCATGGTCACCACTACCACCCTGTTGATGCTGCTGCTGCTGTCTTAAAAATCATTTCTGTTTCTAAGAAAGTAGGAAGTATATCAAGTATATCTGCCTCAGGAAATCCTTCTGCAACTGCCAGCACCAATTGAGATGGGTATATCAAAATGTTACCACATGTCCATCATGCCTTAGCTGCAAGGGAGGCTAGGAGAACCTGGCACTTTCAGCTTCCACATAAGGAGAGGCCTCTGATCAAGCTGCATAAGGTTGGGGAATTCCCCAATCATTGAAAAGGGTTAAAATTCTAGATGGGATAAAAAGAGGGCCAGTGTCCACAATACTATTTTTACTTGTTAGATTGCATTCTGAACTGGCAGTTTCATGTCCAAAGATCACAACAGCCAGGCCACATTTGACTAGCATCTCCTGATGTAAAGAAGTCTACAGATGGCGAAAGTGGGGCAAGGCCATCAAGGAACTTACTATTTAATGAAATAGAAACAGATATATTAGCCTTCATGCTTGCTCAAGTTCATTTCCCCAAACTATACTCTGCTAATAAAATTAATAAGTTTAAGTTAATTGGTTGATCCCCAACAGAATTCAGTATATTAAAAACTACCATAATTTTAACTAATGAAATTCATACTTGTTGACAAAATATTTACCTTTGAGTTTTAAGCTAAATATGTGCTCAACTTAATATTTTCACTCTTCTGAACCTACACATAAAACCTGTTGCTTCTGTGTTCGTTTCAATTTTTTGAAATTAGCACATAAAATTAAGTCCAGTCACTTCACCTGTTCCCTTACTCTTGATTTCAACTGACAGGTCTGGGGACGAGGGGATGGCCTGATCCAGGGATGATGAAGATGCAATGTTGAATGAGCTGGAGGAGAGAAGCAACAGGCACCATGGAAAAGACCAAAACCAAGCAAGGTTAGATTCTTCCTGTCTTGCTTAAGGCTCAGGATTTAAGAAATATAGGCTGTAAGCTTGTCTTGCCCTTATCTCATAAAATAATAATATGTTAACTTAACTATTCTTATTTCACTATCATAACAGAATGACCAGGAAGAGCACAGACACAGTATTGGGGAAACAGGAAATGCTACATGTATATCTATAATTTGAGCAGTTTCTTACTTTTCTTAGCAATAATTTTAGGACTGCCTCAGAATGACCTTCTGAAAAGGGTCAAGATATATACTGAACTAACAGACATCCAATGCCTTCTAGGCTGACCTAGAAACATGAGGGCTTCCTCTTTTAAACTTTACCACACAGAATCAACCATATAAAAGTAGGGTCTGTTATCATCTTCAGTTGATAGGTAAAGAAACAGTCATAGAGAAGTGAGGCTATAGCTAGAAAATGTCAGAGTTTGATCTGGGACCCTGGTCTCTGTCCCCAGGTTCTGGTTCTTGCCATTATACCAGGCTGTTGGGACATAGCATGAAATAGGTTAAGTAAATCCACTCAAGCTTGTAAGGGGGATTGGTAATCTCAAACCATCTGGGTTTTATAGAGACTGCCTTTGGTGTGTAGAAGATCTGAGCTGAAGTTATGTATTATTTATAAACTTAACATACTGAGGCTGATTCCTCTAAGGAAGGCTTTCCTGTACCTGAATGTCCTAGGAGAACAATGTACACATCTATACATCCAAATATTTGCAGCTGGGGATTTTATCTATAAACTGCTTGATTCAAACAATGTGATACAAAGGAGATGTGGCTAAAATGGATAAGCAAAGGGCTGCGTGTGAGGTGTACATTTTATGCAATTTACCTCGTTCTCAGGGCTGAGGTTCTGACAGGTACATTCTAGGCTAACCTTTTTCCTCCCTAGTGCAAATGGTTTTCATCACCTACTACTTTCTTTGTGTTTGACCTGTCTCTAGTGTTGACAATACTGTTTTCTTTCTGCCTGCATCCTTCCAAGACCCTTTGTATTGGAATTTCCTTCCATCAACCCTCTTGCCCAGGAGGACAGCAAAATTCCTTTAGCTGATCTGGGCAGGACAGAGGGCGGAGCTCTGAAGTTTAGCAAGGATCAGAGGCAGAAGAAGTAAGGAATATTTTTACACAGGCCTCCTGAGAACAATAGAGTGACCACTGAATAAATGACTTCCTGACTGGAACTAGCCCCTCAGATAAACTTCACTCAGTCCCAAGAATAAGACAGACCCTTTTTTTTTGGCCCTGCCATGCAGCTTGTGGGATCTTAGTTCCTTGACCAGGGATCGAACTTGTGTCCCCTGCAATGGAAGCACAGAGTCTTAACCACTGGACCACCAGGGAAGTCTGAAAGAGACCCTTCATGGGCATTCCCTTCTGGCTAATGAATGATCATTTATCATTCAGTGTGATTGAGAAACTTCCCCACCTTGGTAGCACATGATTTTCTACTACAAGAGATATACCAGGTAGATATGGTTTGATCATTAGAATGTAATATAAAATAAGCTATGCCAATTTATCTTCTGTCTCTGTTGAATCATTGGCTTCTTAACATGCAAGTACAGATTTAGTATCCTGTAAGTCCCCTCATTCCCTGCATGTGAAGAGAATAGGGACAGAATAAATTGTGTTGATTAAACTGAGCTCTTTTCCCTACAGGAGATAATGAACATAAGCCAATGAATAATCCTTCTGCACAGATTTACCAGGTAAAAACACAGATTGTTTTAAACTCTTTTACGTATCACAATGATGACTGTTTTTTATGTACACATTGTTTTTAACACTCACAAAAGCTTCTACATGTATCATTGTGTTTGTTCACTTAAGGCTGTGAGATAAGCATGGTTAAGAGTACCATTCACATTGTACTCTGGTGAAAACTGATGACTGAAGGACAGCTTACACAGTTTATAAAATACAGCACCACCACTTCCACATCGATGATGCTTTTCTTTTTGTCACCATCATTCTGGTCATTACCCTGTGTAATAACATTTCCATCAGAAGGAGAGAGCAAGGTCTGGTTTTTTTAGTCTCTTTTAGTGGGGAGAATTGAGAATAAAAGGGGGTTAACACTGCAGATGTTCATATATGATAACAGAAAAAAAGTTAAGCTCTTTTAACAATGGGAATAATTTGATTTACAAGGAGATAAATGTTCTGCCAACTTTTATGTAATATGTTTGCAATGACAGTCACTTTGGCTCTCTACATAGTATTTCTTTGGTTTCTATCCACCAACTGTAATTTAAAGTAAATTTCTGTCGTTAAAAATCATAGAGTTCATTCTGACATAATATGTAACGTGAAAACAGCTTGGGCTAGGGAAACCCATGCTACTCTCTAGACTTAAGGCATTGTTATTTGGAATACTTGAGAAGGAAGAAAGAACTGACAAGGTTAGGTGGGGTTTGGGAGAAAGGGTGATTTCAAAGTTGGCTCTTAAGGTTTTAAGCCCTGGTATAACAGACCACCTTACCGGTCTCCTGAGAAATCTGTATGCAGGGCAAGAAGCAACATTTATAATCAGACATGGAATAATGGACTGGTTCAAAACTGAGAAGGAGTACATCAAGGCTGTTTATTGGCACCCTGCTTATTTAACTTATATGTCGAGTACATCATGCAAAATGCTAGTCTGGATGACTCACAGATGGAATCAAGATTGCCAGGAGAAATATCTACAACCTCAGATATGTAGATGATACCACTCTAATGGTAGAAAGTGAAGAGGAACTAAAGAACCTCTTGGTGAGTGTGAAAGAGGAGAATGAAGAAGCTGGTTTAAAACACAACATTCAAAAAAAAAATAAACAAATAAATAAATAAAACACAACATTCAAAAAACTAAGATCATGGCATCTGGTCCCACCATTTCATGCAAATAGATGGGGAAAAAGTGGAAACAGAGACATTTTATTTTCTTGGCTCCAAAATCACTGAGGATGGTGAATGCAAACTTGAAATTAAAAGATGCTTGCTCTTTGGAAGAGAAGTTACGACAAACTTAGCATATTAAAAATCAGAGACTTGGCTTTGCCAACGAAGGTCTCTATAGTCAAAGTTATGATTTTTCCCGTAGTCATGTACAGATGTGATAGACCATAAAGAAGGTTGAGCACCAAAGAATCAATGCTTTCAAATTGTGGTGCTGGAGAAGACTCTTGAGATCCCCTTGGACAGCAAGGAGATATAAAGGAAATCAACCCTGAATATTCACTGGAAGGACTGATGCTGAAGCTGTAATACTTTGGCCACCTGCTATGGACAGCTGACTCATTGGAAAAGATTCTGATGCTGGGAAAGATTGAGGGCTGGAGAAGAAGGGGGATGGCATCATGACTCAATGGTCATGAGTTTGAGCAAACTCCAGGAAATGGTGAAGGACAGAGAAGCCTGGTGTGCTGCAGTCCATGGGGTTGCAAAGAATCAGACATGACTTAGCGACTGAACAACAACTAGGAAAAGGGGGCATCCATGGTTGCTTAGTGGTAAAGAATCTGCCTGCCAATGCAGAAGACGCAGGTTCTATCTCCAGGTCAGGAAGATCCCCTGGAGAAAGAAATGGCAACCCACTCTAGTATTCTTGCGTGGGAAATCCCACGGTCCAGAGGAGCCTGGTGGGCTATTGTCCATGGGGTTGCAAAAGAGTCGGACATGACTGAGTGATGAAATAGCAACTATAAAAAATAGTGGTCTCCCAAATAGAGATATAGGAATCCAGAGGAGCAGGTAGTTTGGGGAAATGTAATTTAAATTTGTTTACTTTGAGTAACAGTAAAATGAAAATAACAACTAGTTAGTTCCCAAAAATATCATGTAAGAGATCTCTGCTGAGGACCCAATTAGGGCAAACCAGCACAAGATAATGAAAACATTGTAATCATGTTGCTCTTAGAACCAGACCAGCAAACAGAGAGGCTGAAGAAAATAGCCTCATTTCAACTTAATGCATATTTATTGAGCAGTTACTATGTGCAAAGTCTACTGTTTGGGACTTGAATGGGAGACGAAACAGATATTCTTACTGATTTTAAAGTGTCCTGAAAAACATACAAGAAATACAAGGTATGCTGTTTGGAAGAATTTCAACAGAGGTATTGATAAAATTCTGTGGAATATGAAAAAGGGATGAATTAATTTTAACTGAAGGATTTGATCAGGCATGTAAGAATGAGTTAATCATTTGGTAAGTGGATGTGGGGAAGGGAAATTTTAGGCAGAGGGACTAGCCTGAACAATGGTTTGGAAACAGGAAGTGAATCTTCCTTCAGTGCTCATCTGACGCTTCACTTGTCTGTCCAAGACCTCCCTGCCCACCTCCCCTCTGTTAATGCCTGACCTGTGTATGGCATTTGAATGAGTGTGACTATCTCTTTAAACTCAGGTATGATTTAAAGTCTATTACAGATTTTATGTAGGTCACTCCCTGAATGTTGGCTAAATATAGCTGCAGTGGGGATGGCCTCATTCTCTTATTGTATACATCCAAGTACATCTGTTCACGGAGGAACAAATGAAGCAGTGGAAGTGAACTTGCTCCATGTGACCTTTGTGATGCTGTGACTATAACCCCGTCCTTGTTTTAAAAGAATGTCTCCTAAACCCCAGTCTGTTTACTCCAAGCAATATTTAACCAAAAGAAGATGAAGGAGGAGAAATAAAGAAGAGGACAAGGAAGGAGGGATACAGGGAGAGATTAACTATAATAGATATAATCTATAATTAAAAGGGAGAGCAAGATATGAAAGGTAAAGGAAAATGTGACATTTCAGACATTTTCTATCTCCTTATTTTCTCAACAGACCTCCCAATCCCTACCTGATATTATAGTAAATATTAACTTGTTTATTATTTTTCAGTTGTCTGTCTCCTTTTCTAGAATGTAAGCTCCATGGGCAGGGATTACTACATTTTGCTCTTTGTTATATTCTCAGAACAAAGTATAGTGCCTGGAATATAATACATATTCAATAAATATTAGTTGAATGAATGAATGGATCTCATGAGATGTGTATATTGCTTTAAGCCAAGGGGTCTGATGTAGTCATTTTAGTTTGGTGCTAAATGGTATTTGGAAAACTGTCTGGTTCTTTGCAAAAAAAGAAGAGATTTTTGCTTCATACTCTAATCAAAATAAACTCAAAAGTGAATTAAAGCATTAAATATTTTTAAAAACCATAGAAGTTTAGAATTAGTGAATATTTATTTTGTCTCTGGATGTCTTTTTAAGAAAAAAAGCACTAGAAAATATCTTTTTAAGAAGAAAAAAGCACTGGAAAAAAATCACAAAGGGAAAGGTTAGTGAGTACATCACATCCCAATTAAAAATTTTCCTAATGTAAAAATATTTTCAACAAATTCAGAGACAAATAACAAAAACTGGAAAATTTCCTACAAAAATATTACAGAGCTTTAATGATATATAAATAATTCATAGAATCAATAAATAGGAAAATTCTGAAACCCTGACAGAATATGGGTGAAGAACACAAACAATTTACCAAAACAAAATTGCAGATGGCTAATAAATAGAAGGAAAGGTTGAAGCTCAAAGAAACAATGATTAAAACAAGGAGTATTATTTTTTGACTAATTTAATTCAAATGCAGTAAAAGTGTTAAAATGTTCGTAGCCCTGATTGGCTTCCAGTTCTTTGGATGAACATAACCTTGGTAAGAATATCGTACTGTGACCTAAATCAGGTCACAGACGTCAACAGTAGAATGAGCACTATCATCTCCCAGTTCACTCCAGGTAGAATTACTGTGGACCAGGTGAATCAGCAGACACCCTGACTGCTCCTTAGCTTAGTACACTCCCTTTTATTCGCATCCAAATCTATCCCTCTCCTTTGTCCATTGTCCATAACCCCCTCAAAGTCCACCCCAATCTCTTTTCCAGAGTCCGCTGTGTTGATTCAGCCAAATGATTACTTCATTTGGAATATATATTTTAAAATTATGATTTCAGTAACATGAGAAGTGAGGGTTGAGGGTCCCCCAATTAAGGCAACAGATGTGGTAACAGCACAATTTAGTTCTAGTGCAACCCTCACACTAATGACTTGAACTCCAGCCATGTTTTTGGCTCATGTGTAGGCTTAGGAATGTAGACACTTTAACTTCTACCATTTATATTACTTATGTTTCATGTCTTGTCTAAGACATGATTTTCCAAATACACTAATTTAGGACATTGCATGTCATACAGTATGTTTCAAAGAATATATACAACCATATTATTATAACTTTTCAAGCCCTCTGGTCAAATATATTTTGTATAATTATTAATTAGTTGAATACATTCCAGTATGGTATATTTTCCTTTGGGTCAATACTACCTAACATCCTTTGACTCAGTAATTTCATATTTAAGAATTATCCAAAGGAAATAACTGAAATATATACAAAGCTTTAAGTAAAAAGCATTATATTTCAATGCATTATCTTATATTGAAAAATCATAAATAACAAATTTACAACAAGGGTGAATGAGTAGGTAAACTCTGGCACACTTGTAGGATGGAATATTATATAGCCATTAAAATGTACACTTAGACAAACATTTGAAGGCTGAGGGAAAGGACTTATAAGAATGTTATGCAGAAGGAAAGAAAAAGGAGGGCAGAATCAAAATATACTTTTATGTGATTTCAACACTATAAATATGCATGCGTGTGTGCTTAGTCATGTCTGACTCTTTGAGACATGATGGACCATAGCCCGCCAGACTCTTCTGGCATTTTTCAGGTAAGAATACTGGAGTGGGTTGCCATTTCCTACTCCAAGGGATCTTCCCGACCCAGGGATCAAACCCATTTCTCTTACATCTCCTGCATTGGCAGGTGAATTCTTTACCACCATGCTACCTAGGAAGCCAAAGCCAATGCTATTAATACTTGCATTTATATTCATGGCACAAAATAGAAGGAAATATACCAAAATGTTAATGGTTATATTAAAGTAATGAGATTTGGGGTGACTCTCTTTTTTTCTTTTTCTCTGTTAATAAAAATATTAATAATTTAAGAAAATGGGTTATATGCCCAAAGAAACTCTAACTGTAAAACTATGGGAACCAGTCCTACAGTAATAGGTTTCATCATCAAAATTTCCATTGAATATTTTCTAGGATTTATAAGCCCTGTTTAAGCCTCAGTCCCTTTTTACCACTGAGGCATGTTCTTCTAACTTCAGAGAAGCTATCTCTGCTAGATCTGTGTTGCATCCAGGGATAGATAAGATAAATTTCCACCACACCAGGCTTCCTATCAGCCTCCGTGTTGCCTGGTAAGAATAACTTTAAGGATCAACTTCTGCAGGAAGTGTAGAGGAGTAGATTTGGGAAATTTACTCTTGACTGTTCAAATGACTCACTTTGTGTTTTAAATCACTGCAATAAACTAATTGCAATGGGTTAATCCATTGCATTGGATTAACAGAGGCTAAAAATTAGGGAGTGGCAGCTGGCAGAAAGACCCCATTTCTTCTGTAGCAACCCTGATTTAGGGGGAAGCCAAAGCAATTACCCTGGCATTCTTGTCATTATGGGCTACTTCAAAATACCCGAGCTTCTGTTCCTGTAGAACTTTTAGTCAGGTGTCACAGGAATTTGGCATACCTTGTGGAGATTTCTCAAATCTTGATCTTTAAAACTTTGCAGAGTTCTCAAAGCACAGGCCCATTCCCTGCTTTTCTGACCTTAATAATGAGACAGAAGGGAAGGAGAAGTTTGTGTAAAAGACAAGTTGGAACAACTTGCTTAATTTATGAAAATTTAGTTTAAGGGATCTTTGGTGAAAAAAAAAATTTGGAAGACAATGACTAAAATTCATCTTGAGAAGAGTTAAGAGCCAAGAAAGTAGAGGAAATTGAGAAACAAAAATTAAGAGCAGGAAATAGGAAGAATTCGGACTCCCCTCCCCTATTTCTTTGAGCCTAAGAAGCCCTCTGTGGTACCGTAGGCTTCCAAGTACAAGAGTTCCCTGAACCTGCCTCCAGTGGGAGCCCGCCTCCAGCGGCAGGATGGAGGGATCATAACCTCTCTAGAGCAGCTTCACGAAAAAATCAACGAGATGAGGAACGTGTTCAACTCGCTGGAGAACAAGGTAGACACCCATTTCTAATCCTGGGGGTGGGCTGTGGGCTGTCAAATAAGAAAGCGGGAGACAGAGCAGATCAAATAAGTCCACGTCTTCAGAGCCTTTTTTTTTTTACTTACAAAGGAATGGCCAGTTGGTACCAGAAAACCAGTCTGCAGTAGCTAAAGGTTTTCAAAATCTCCCAAGCAACTTAAAAGTGACCTGTAGTCTCAGGTGTGTGACTGTACTCACTATGTATGGCATCCCCTGCCTGATCAGCGGTCATGAACCTGTTTATAAAGCAGTAGTGTTACTTCAGTGGTAGGTATTGAAGGAGCTCAAAGTAGCATATGGAAAGAAAATGGGTGCTTCCTAGCTCAAAATGGTTTCAGAATTCCCAAAGTCCCTATATAACCTGGCTGTTAGTGAAATGTATTGATAGCTCTTAATATTTGAGAACTTAGGTCCTACAGGTGAAGAGAATCCTGCTGCTTCCTTTTGCCTTCTGGGCAAAACACCACACATCCACCTAGGGGAGTAGTGAAAATGAAACCTATTTCTGTTGGAAAGTGGTTCCCTTTTTTTTTCCAAGCAGGAATCATGAGTGAAGGTTAGGTTTCCTTCCTTCAATTTTAAAACATGCCTACATTTTGCTTTGATATCACATGGCCATCGACTTCATTTTGCTCACAGAAGATGAATTTGTATAATGAAAATTACCAGGTCAAATGTAGTTGATCTGGTGATTTAACCTAACATGACAACTGAATTAGGACATGTGCTAAAACCCATCACAGACATATCAAAATTAAAAATGACTGGAATGAAATACAGATTGCTCATGTTGTTTCCCAGTCTTTCAGCTCCAAACACCTGAGATGTCATGCTTTTTTTCCTCGGAATGATCTCCTTGATTCCTCTTACTTTCCCCTCCTCCAAGCCCTCTGTGAAGCACAGAGACCCACGAGCCCTATATTTTGAAAATATGGTGCAGAAGAGTAATTCATTTTATACTTTGAGATGTCACACAAGTTGGAACCATTTGGAAAGGGTGTTTAAGGCTCCTAAAAAGTTCTGTTTCAAAAAGCAATCTGGAGTAAGCATTTCTATACCTAGCAGAATGTAAGATCATAAAAATCATGTAAGTAATGTTATTATTACCTTACTGTTATTATCTTAACCTTTTGTTTGTTGAAAATGCTTTTTTCAATGACTCAATAAATAAAACTGAAATTTAGAAGTGCTCCATTTTCTCCACATTTCTGTTTGTGCTTAGCTTTCTGATTTACCACTTCAAGGGGGAAAAGAATTAAAATTTCTTGAACACATTTTACATACCAAGCATATGCTGTGGTAGGTACCTTACCTACATTTATTCACTTAATTCTCAAGACAGTCCTGTGAAATATTATCCTAGCTATATTATGGATGAGGAAATTGCTACAAAGAGGCTAACCAACTTGCCTGAGGTTTTAGTACTTGTAGCAGAGTTGCTAGGATTTATACCCTACCTGACTCCAAAATTGACACCCTTTTCATGGTTGGAAGTTGACAATAAAAATCCAAGTGTGCATTCCTACAAGACCAGGCTTGACGGCTGAAGATGATTCTCATTACTATCAAAGTGCTGAGTTTCTACCACTGTAGGTTTTCCTGCTCCTGGAAACACCATAATCTCCTTTTTCATGATATCATCCAAGAATATTAAAAAAACTTCTTCCCTTTCAAAGAAATATTCAAATATGCTTAATCATTACTCTTTTTATCATTTTATTTTTTTAAGGAAAAAAATAACTGAATTTCTTCAACATCCTTTCTTGCATGGAATTCAAAGAGTTACTGATCAACACTGTCTTTCACATGCATAGGTTGCTTTTAAAATAAATCTCTTTTTAATCAAAGGTGTTCAAATAAATAGTAAGTTGCAGGAACACTTGCAAACAATAAATTGGTTGCTTTTTTATCACTATCAAGCTTCAGGGTGAGTGATATAAAGAAGACCCACTTTTCCCTAGACATATGGGACCAAGGTTGCCTTAAGTTGTGTACAAAATCGTCTTCTAGTAAATGAGTTCTGTACATGTTCAAGAGCCTGGTTTTGCAAACAAAAGAAACATCCAAGGGATCAGATATTCCATTCATAATAATTTATAGCAAATTGAATTAACTCTTTGTGTATTATTTAGTTGCAGGCTCTAGCCTCTGAACTCAAAACTGGCTTCACAGAAGCAATGCAAGAACTGTCAAGAATTCAACATGGAGAATATGCTTTGGAAGAGAAGGTCAAGAGCTGCAGATGTTCCATGGAAGAGAAAGTTACTGAGATGAAGAATTCATTGAACTATTTTAAGGTAGGTCCTTCTTCTATTTCCTTCCTAAAGATTTCTGGTCATCTTAACAGAAGTAAAAAAAAAACCAAACAAACAACAAAAAAAAACTTGCCTTTTTGCCTAGCAACCAAATACAAGAATTTTCCTCTGGCCCATTCATTAACTTTCATGAAAAAATATCATGTTTTACTTGGTTGGATCTCTATGTTAAAATTAGAAGCTACAATAGAAGTAAAGTTTTCATCTCTCATTCATTCATTTAATATATATTAGAAGTTTTCTGTGTACTAAATATTATGTTATATACTTTAACTTCATATACTAGATTAAAGACATATCAATTCTTATTTTTTAGGAAGAGCTGAGCAATGCCATGTCAATGATCCAGGCCATCACTTCCAAACAAGAAGAGATGCAACAGAAAATCGAACAGCTTCAACAGGAGAAGCGAAGAGAATCTCGAAAAGTTAAAGCCAAGTGAGTGTCTGACCAAAAAACTGACCAAAGGCAAGTGTATAAGCAATGGCTCATAGACAGGCACCAGGAATACCTTTCCTTCTGTTGGTGGACAGCTGGCCACTGGGCTCCATGAATCAGCATGTGATAGAGATTATGCAGCACAAAAATGAACGGTGGGACTTCCCTGGCAGTCCAGTAAAGACTCCATGTTTACAATGCAGGATGCAAAGGTTCAATTCCTGGTGGGGGAAATAAGAACAGTAGCAGAAAAAACACTTAATATAACTGGAAGTTAAATGAAAATGATATGAAGTGGCATGCAGAATTTAACTGTAAAAACGTAAAATAACAACTAGAAAGTGAAAGTGTGAGTCACTCAGTCATGTCCGACTCTTTGTGACCCCATGGACTGTAGCCCACCAGGCCCCTCTGTCCATAGAATTCTCCAGGCAAGAATACTGGAGTGGGTTGCTATTTCCTTCTCCAGGGGATTTTCCCGACCCAGGGATTGAATCTGGGTCTCCCACATTGCAGGCAGACTCTTTACCAACTGAGCCACCAGGAAAATAACAACTAGAAAGATATATTTAAATTATGATTTTTGTGCTAAGATAATGGGGTCACCAGTGATTTTATTAGATTTCTGAAATTTCTCTAATACTATTATTATTTCACTTTGACCATTGAAAATAAATTTATGTTAAACAATATCCCAACCAGGCTGCATTAAGTAAAGCTGCACCACTAAGGAGACATAATCTTCATTGTTACATGTTTTGATATGATCAAATTTAAAATATAACTAATATTTGTGTGACCCTGGAGAATGGTTCAGTGTTTTCAGTAGAGTACCTGCTCCTTCCTGCTACTCTTGTGTTGCTTTGTGAAGAGAATGTAAATTATCCCAAGAAATTGTTCCCGCTGTAAACTCTGTAACAGGGAAGCTAGTAACAGAAAAATAAGAATACAGATATTATAATTAGAAGGTGAATTGTAGGTATTTGGTGATGAGTTGTATTGAATCATATGAATTGCTAGTATTCAACTGTGTTTAATTTACAAAAACTGCAATTTTGTATGGTTCAGAAATTTTCTTGACCTATTCTGAACTGACTCTTTTCTTACCCCATCATGTAGTAAGAGCCTTTTTTCTTTTTTTTTAGGAAAACTCAGAAAGAAGAACATGGATCACAGGCTGGACCTGCTCAAGCACAAGGAAGTCCTTTCCGTTCCATCAATATCCCTGAGCCTGTTCTTCCAAGTGAAGACTTTACAAACCTTTTGCCTTCTCAGGCCTATGAAAAAGGTACAGTTTACACATCATATTGAATTAGCCAAGTAGTTCTCCCTTGGTTCCTAGGACTTCAGTAACATTGAGAATAGGCTTACAGCCTCCATCTTTATTAGATGAAAATAATGTATCACTCAGGATGTTTTGCTTTTGTAACTGGAATGTAAAAGAATTCAGAGGATCTAAGAAATGGAGAGAGTCTGCCCAAATTTAAAAGATTTTCTTTTGAGGGAAAATAATAATCTGGGTATTCTAAGTTTCAAATGGGTTGGAAAAAACTTATTATACAATAATACTATACCAGCTATAGTAGAAAAATAAATTTTTTAAATTATTCACTCTAATAAATTGTTTTATTTTCTACATTACTTCTCAATCCTTACCTCTCTGCACAGATGGAAAATTGTGTTCTTTTTTTTTTTCAACAAAGTTTTCACGGATATGAGAAAGTTATATCTGCCCTAACAGGCAGGCATTGATGTCAGTGATAACCTAATTCTGTGCTCTCCTTTCTCTGGAAAACTGATCTGGTGGTGTTTGTGGGTTGAAACAGCCATAGCCACATCACTGAAAATAATTAGAAAATATCTGTATGTAGCAGTCCTGAAGAAAATGGCTTTCCAAGAGATGTTGCTAAGCATGTTCACTTACATGTTTGCTACATCTTTGTACCCTCAACAATGTTTAGCAAGTACCTTATATGCAGGAACATGAATGGAATACCAACATTGTTTGTATAAATTTTCCTATGATTTTTGGTCTCATGTTGAAAGTCTCCAAAAGAGAGTCAATAACTTCTAGACCAACTGTAATCTCCTCAAGAGCAGGACTGGTGGTTTTCCACCCTTATGGCTTAAGAAACAATGTAACTCATATATTCAAAGATAATAAATCTGCTTTGGATAATTTAAAAATCTTAATCAAGTGGCTTTTAAGTGGTGTTAACTTCAAAAGTACAGATTTGCTTTTTTATTTTTTACCCATTTTAGAGACTCAATAGGTGCAGCCTGGGAAGTCTCACTTGATCAATCTAGGAAATGGGTTCATCACAGGTGGCTCTACATTTTTTGCTCCACGGCATAAAAAGCACAGCATAAAATGAAGATGTTGTTAGGGAAGAATGTAGAATGGGCTTGGAAGGTAGAAGTCAGATCAGAGTCAAATCTGGGACAGCTGACCATATGCACAAGATAAAAGATTGAAAGTTGTATTTGCCCAGATGCATGGCAAATTCTCCTTCTTTCATTATTATATAGGCATGGCTTATATAATATAGTCTATTCTATTGAGTTGCTATACAAATTTGGGAATAATATGGCATAGCAAGACATTCTAGATATGATTGGTGGTAGTTTATGTTAAAACTTGAGGTCAAAGGACCAAACTTTCAGAAGGGGTTGGCTTACCCATTATAAAATGGTGCCATTGTTATCCACTGACCCCAAATTCAGTATGTTAAAATAGCAAACATTCATTATATCACAGTTTCTCTGAGTTAGGAATCTTTGCACAGAGTAGCTGAGTGCCTCTGGCTCAAGGTCTCTCATGAGGTTGCCGTCAAGGTGTTGGCCACCCGCTATCCTTCCTTCTCTCCATCCATTCATCTATACTTTCATCCATCCATTCACCTCAAGCATTGATTTAGGTGGTGGGATATCATAATGAACAAGAATTTCTAACCTTCAAGGACCTCTTGTTCTGAAGGAAGCAGACAATGAACAAGACAAAATATGTAGTATGTTAGACAGTGATCAGAAGACAAATAAGGAAACACAGGTATAATTTTAGAGAAGGTACCAGGTAAAGACCTGAAGGAAGTGAGAAAGTAGGTTTATGGATATCAGAGTGGGGGAAAGGGACCAGTCCCAAGGTCCTGGTGGGAACATCACTGATATGCTCAAGAAATTGCATAAGACCAATGGGGCTAAAAGCAAAATAAACAGGGAAACAATAGGAGATGGGTTTTTTAAAAAAAGAAAGAAAGAAAAAAAACCAGCAGGCAGGGGAGGGGGGCAGATATTTCAGGGCCTTAAGACCATTCTAAGATTTTGGGTCTTTGCACAGAAATGGGGAGCTGTTGGAGGGCTAAGCAGAGGCTTGACAGGGTCTGACTTACATTTTAAAATCATCCTTCTGGCTCTGTTTAGCATTACCATCCTCACCATAATAGTTACATAATCATTTAGCTCTTGCTGTGTGCAGTTTAGAAATGTTATCTTATTTAATTCTTACTGCTATCTATGAGTTAAGTACTAGTTATATCTTTGTAGAAATGAGAGACTAGTACTTGCCACACCCTATTGTAATGCTTTTTTACTGCTCTGGCTTCCCCAGTAGAAGGTAAGCTCTGTGAGCGTATCCCAGTTCTTAGTTCATAGAAGGTGCCAGTCCAAGTTAGTGGGATGAGTATTGATTGAAAGCTTTCCTTCTTCTGCAGCACAAGAGACCAGATCCATGCACGTAGGAGACAGCAATGTGAAGGGAATAATGGGTCCTGGTAAGTGGCTCTTCTTCAAGTTCTCTTTTCTTCTAACAGTCTCACCCTATCCCTTCTTCTACCTTTCCTGCTTCTACGCCCTCAGTCCCAAACCAGGCGTGAAAGAACTCAGACAAGATAAAGCACTGTGTTTACTAAGATTCCAACATGTATGCTGGAGTAGGTCAGCAACTCAGTTAAACCCGGAGAGAAAGGGAAGGGAAGTTGAAGACAAAACCAGTCTTCTCAGTTCCTTCAGGCTTGCTTCAGTTACCACTGAACTAACACTTGCTGAGAACTCACAAGTGCAGGTGGAATGACATTTAAGCTTTCTGTGGACCACACATCTTATAGTTTATGTATTTAAAAGTTATCTAGGAGATAATTCACCAGAATCTTATAAATTATTTCATCTCCCCTCCCTCCCTTCCTCCTGCCCTTTGGAAATATACCATCATCAGGGCCAAGGAGGACAAATTCCAAAATATGATGCTGTCTTTAGTACCCTTCTTCCTGCTGTTTCTGTGTGTTCTCCCCAGGTGTGCTCACCTGAAAGGAAGAAATATGAAGAATCAATACATATGACTATAAATTAGTTTTGTTATTATATTTTATAAAAATAAATAATTTATAAATTAACTAATTTATATTTTATTTTATAAAATTTATTTTTAAAAGTCATTCAGAAAAAAAGATAAATAAAAGTCATTCAGTACAGTCTGTGTGCCAACAGTTAAGTATATAGACCAGAAACAGAGAAAGGTGATCCTTTGTAACTGTGGAGACTTTTAATTCTTAACTGATATGTTTAACCCTCAAAGGATAGTTGTACCTAAGCAAAGGTATAATATTTTTGAGTTAGTAACAAATATAATTTAAAAAAAATCAGAACTTGATGGCAGATGTTATTTTTCAGGAATGACCCCAACTCCAGAAGCAGAAGAAAACCTTAAGCCTTGCCTCTCAGCTGATATCCAACCCAAGAGTCATCTCCCACCTGGTGTGTGGAGGCAGCCTAAGGATACTAAAGACTGGGGTGAAGAATACGTCACAAAAGACCACCCAGATAAACTCAAGGAAGTGGGCCAGGGCAGACATAGCTCCTTGGAAAATGTTTTATGTGAAACTTCCTTAGCTGGTAAGTCCCAAGGGGCAATGTAGGCTGAAAATGTAAAGAACAAGAAATCTAAGGGCTTGAATCCTTGCAGTTTAGATGCAGTGGGCCTATGAGACCACTGAACCTCTGGTTTCCTTTTGAGATGAACAAACTGAAGTCTTTAGTGGTAAAGGGACTCACCTGAGGTCATACGGCCAACTAGGACTAACACCTTGATTCTGGGTATCTGTGACACTTAGTATTGTACTGCTCTGGAAAAAAAGGCATGAGGTTAGTGGAGAAGAAGGCAGAATTTTGTGATGGATTTATTCAGTGATATGGAATGTTCAATGTATGAATCTTGTATTAGCGGTTCACCACCAAAAAGTCAAATACTGCAATGAGGTCTGATTTTCCTTTCCTTCTTTTTTCCTTTTTTCCCTCTTTCCTTTCTTTCTTCGAATGATGAATCATCACTGAGCACTTAGCATATGTCTGACAATGGCATTACCCTCCAACTGTTGTTTTTAATTAATTTTAATTGGAGGCTAGTTACTTTACAATATTGTAGTGGTTTTTGCCATACATTGACATGAATCAGCCATGGGTGTACATGTGTCCCCCATCCTGAAGCCCCTCCCACCTCCCTCCCCACCCCATCCCTCAGGGTCATCCCAGTGCACCAGCCCTGAGTGTCCTGACTCATGCACTGAACCTGGACTGGCAATCTATTTCACATATGGTAACATACACATTTCAGTGCTATTCTCTCAAATCATCCCACCCTCACCTTCTCCCACAGAGTCCAAAAGTCTGTTCTTTACATCTGTGTATCTTTTGCTGTCTCCATATAGGGTCATCACTACCATCTTTCTAAATTCCATATATATGCATTAATATACTGTATTGGTGTTTTTATTTCTGACTTCACTCTGTATAATAGGCTCCAGTTTCATCCACCTCATTAGAACTGATTCAAATGTGTTCTTTTTAATAGCTGAGTAATATTTCATTGTGTATATGTATCACAGCTTTGTTATCCATTCGTCTGCCAAAGGACATCTAGGTTGCTTTCACGTTCTAGCTATTGTAAATAGTGCTGTGATGAACATTGGGGTACATGTGTCTCTTTCAATTCTAGTTTCCTCTGTGTGTATGCCCAGTAGTGGGATTGCTGGGTCACATGGCAGTTCTATTTACAGTTTTTAAAGGAATCTCCACATTGTTCTCCATAGTGGCTGTATTAGTTTGCATTCCCACCGACTGTGTAAGTGTAAGAGGGTCCCCTTTTCTCCACACCCTCTCCAGCATTTATTGTTTGTAGACTTTTTGATAGCAGCCATTCTGACCGGCATGAGATGTTACCTCATTGTGGATTTAATTTGCATTTCTCTGATAATGAGTGATGTTGAGCATCTTTTCATGTGTTTGTTAGCCATCTGTATGTCTTCTTTGGAGAAATGTCTGTTTAGTTCTTTGGCCCATTTTTTGATTGGGTCATTTATTTTTTTGGAATTCAGCTGCATGAGCTGCTTGTATATTTTTGAGATCAATTCTTTGTCAGTTGCTTTGTTTGCTATTATTTTCTCCCATTGTGAAGGCTGTCTTTTCACCTTGCTTATAGTTTCCTTCGTTGTGCAAAAGCTTTTAAGTTTAATTAGCTCCCATTTGTTTATTTTTGCTTTTATTTCCATTACTCTGGGAGGTGGGTCATAGAGGATCCTGCTATGATTTACATCAGAGAGTGTTTTGCCAATGTTTTCCTCTAGGAGTTTTATAGTTTCTGGTCTTACATTTAGATCTTTAATCCATTTTGAGTTTATTTTTGTGTATGGTGTTATAAAGTGTTCTAGTTTCATTTTTTTACAGGTGGTTGACCAGTTTTCCCAGCACCACTTGTTAAAGAGATTGTCTTTTCTCCACTGTATATTCTTGCCTCCTTTGTCAAAGGTGTCCATAGATGCATGGATTTATCTCTGGGCTTTCTATTTTGTTCCATTGATCTGTATTTCTGTTTTTGTGCCAGTACCATACTGTCTTGATGACTGTAGCTTTGTAGTATAGTCTGAAGTCAGGCAGGTTGATTCCTCCAGTTCCATTCTTCTTTCTCAAGACTGCTTTGGCTATTCGAGGTTTTTTTGTATTTCCATACAAATTGTGAAATTATTTGTTCTACTTCTCTGAAAAATACCATTGGTAGCTTGATAGGGATTGCACTGAATCTAGAGACTGCTTTGGGTAGTATACTCATTTTCACTAAATTGATTCTTCCAATCCATGAACATGGTACATTTCTCCATCTAGTTGTGTCATCTTTGATTTCTTTAATCAGTGTTTTATAGTTTTGTATATATATGTCTTTTGTTTCTTTAGGTTCCCTCCAATTGTTTTATAGGAGGTAATTTTAAATTTTTTATTATCAAATACATGAAAACTGAATAACACTAAAATGCTTATTGTGAAAATCAGTAGCACCCACTTTAAATTCTTTAGACATCTTTTTTTCTGGTGCTTGCTTCCATGTTTTAAAAAGAGTTTATGCAGCTTTTTTTTTCTATTGGTACATTGTGTGCACGCTAAGTTGCTTTAGTCATGTCCAACTCTTTGCGAACGTATGGACTGTAGCCCACCAGGCTCCTCTGCCCATGGGATTCTCCAGGCAAGAGTACTGGAGTGGGTTTCTGTGCCTCCTCCAGGGGATCTTCCCAACCCAGAGATTGAACCTGCATCCTTATGTCTCCTGCATTGGCAGGTGGGTTATTTACCACTAGCACCACCTGGAGATACACAGACATGTATAATATGAGAACTATATTGGGTTGGCCAAAAAGTTCTTTTGGTTTTTCCATAACGTCTTAGGGAAAAACCCAAAATAACTTTTTGGCCAGCCCAACATTAATATTTCTAATAATAGGAATATTACCTCATAAAGTTCTCTCATATACCTTTTCAGGCAATACCCACCCACAGAACCACTACTCTGACTTCTGTCACTGTAAATTAGTTGTGTCTGTTCTTAACTCCATAAAAATGGAATATTACAATATGTTGTTTTTTCATGTCTGGACTCTTTCTCTCAACATAATGTCACATGTAATTCATTCAGTAATTTATTCCTTTTTATTAATCGTATTGAATGAATTTACCATAATTTGTCCATTCTCTTATTGCTAGAAATTGGATTGTTTCCAATTTAGGGCTACTATGAATAAAACTGCTGTGAATATTCTTGCACAAGTCTTCTTTTTTTTTTTTTAATGTATGCCCTCATTTCTCTTGAGTGTATACCTAGGAGTGGAATCTTTGGATTATGGGATAGGATTATGTTTAACTTTAAAACACCAGCAGTTTACCAAAGTGGTTGGAATATTTTATACTTTTACCAGCAATGTATGAAACTTCCAGTTGTTTTACATTCTTCTCAGTATTTAATATGATCAGCCTTTTTCATTTGAACCATTCTGTGGGTGTGTCCTGTGTCATATTGCAGTTTTAATTTGCACTGCCCTGAGGACTAATGATGTTGAGCATCTTTTCATATGCTTGTTGACTATTTGTATAATTTCATTTATGAAGTACCTATTTAAGTCCTTTGTCCAGTGTTTAAATTGGGCTATCTTTCTATTCTCTATTAGTAGGGTTTCTTAATATATTTTGAATATGAGTTCTCTGTAAGATATATGTGTTGAGAATATTTTATTCTATTCTCTGCCCTGCCTTTTCACTTTCTTGGTAGTCTTTTGATAACAGATATTTTTAATTTTAATGAAGTTCAATTTATCAATTTTAAATGTTTAAAATAGCTTGTGACTTATGTGCCCTTGCAAGATATTTTTGCCAATTCTAAGGTTATCGAGATATTCTAGTATGTTTTCTTATTAAAATCTTTATAGTTTTAGCATTCACATTTAGGTCTATGACTCATACTGAATAAATTTTACTGTGTATTCATTTTTTTTCCCATATGGCAATCCAGTTGCTTCAGCTCCATTTATTGAAAATGCCTTCCTATTCTCACTGAAATGAGTAGGAAAAGCCAAGTCATCACTTACATGTGGGTCCAACTCTAGACGCTAAGGCTTCCCAGGTAGTTCAGTGGTAAAGCCTCTGCTTGCCAATGCAGGAGATGCTGGAGACATGGGTTTGCTCCCTGGGTCTGAAAGATCCCTTGGAGAGGATAATGGCAACCCACTCCAGTAGTCTTGCTTGGGAAATCCCATGGACAGAGGAGTCTGGTGTGCTACAGTCTATGGGGTTGCAAAAGAGCTGGCCATGACTTAGGGACTAAACAACAAAGTCTACTCTGTATTCTTTTAGTCTGATTAGGAGAGAATTGACATCTTGACAGTACTGATATTCCAGTTGAAGAACATGGTATATGACTCCTTTTACATAGGTCTTCTTTAATTTTTTTTAGCAATGTAACAAAGTCTATCATTGACATTTTTTTAAAACAGTACTTGCCGTAGAGACCTCTGTCATCCTACTCCATTCTGACTCACTGCACTGCTGCCCTTCTGGGACTTCTCAGTCTTCCTGTGAATTCCCTTAAAATTTATCCTATGTTAGCTTCCTATTCGGGTTTTGTAGAGTTGTTTTTGTTTTGTTTTGTTTTGCGTATCCTTCTCAGTTTCTTGGTTTACTACTTGTTTTGAAGGAACACATAGCCTGGTAGGTTCCACATAATTCATTGACTATTCAGATGAATATAAAGTCATTTTCCATTATCATTTTGAAGCAATTGTTCCACTTTCTTCTAAATTCTAATGTTGCCAGTGAAAAATCCAATATCATCTAATCCCCAGTCCTTTGTATATTACCTGATTCTTCTCTCTGGTAACTTTTAGGATCTTCTCTTTACCTTTGGTGTGCTAAATTTTCACAGTGATGTGGTATATTTTACAGTGATGTGAGAGTTTTTTTCATTAATTATACTGAATGCAAATGGGCCCTTTCCTCTGGAAATACATGTCCTGGTATTTTTTGTGTTATTAATTTGATAATATCTTCTCATTCATTTTCTTTCTTTTCTCTGAAACTTCTACTAGTTTGATATTGGATCTCCTGGACTGATTTTCTCTATTACTGCCTTTCTTGGTGGGGAGGGAAATGGAGGCAGGTGCACAGATTTCCTTGACTTTGTCTTCTATTCTTTTTTAAAAAGTCAAAAAGTTTCTTCTTTTTTTCCTGGATTGTTTTTTAAAAATAGGATCCTGTAATTATTAAATGGGCAGAATATTTTTGGTAACTCTTTGAGGATATTAATTATAAGATTTTTTTTAAAGGTTTCTTTTTTTTCCTGCATTGTCTCTATTTATGGTTCCTCCTTTTAAAAATGTGTGTATACTTTTTTCTTCTCTTTCTTTTATGATGTAAGATTGATTCAAGTATCTGAGGATTCTTAGCTAATTATTCATATCCAGGAAAAAGGCCCTAAATAAAAAGAAACCTAAAAATCCTGGGTTGGTCAAGCTGATCAATAAGTGGGCTTCTTATCTGCTAATCAGGTGGCAAATTACTGTTTTGATAGGTGACCTCTGTATGTCAGTGTTTGTAGATCTTTTTCACTTGGGCAGCTCATTCCTCCAGTGGAAGATCCTCTGGTCTCCAGTTTGAACAGTATAAGTCTGGCTGCTGGCACTCTGGGACCTGCTGGCACTCTGGGACCTACAGGCAAAGAGGCTGAGAGGAGTCTCACTGTTTTGTATGTGAGCCTTCTCTGAGTCCCTTTGTTTTCATTTTAGCATTTCAACTCTGCTCTCTACCATGTCTGATGTTGTTAGTTCAGATGGGCTTCTCTAGCTTGTCTCATTTCCCCTGGGGTGGAATTGAGGAAGCCATCCAGCATGGGGATAGGGAACTGAAGGTTCAGCTTCATTGAATGTAGACTGTTTCTCCTGTTCACAGCATTGCCTCTTACTTGTACTCTCTGTGATGCCTTGGTGTCTCCAACCCTTGAGCCTTTCTGCTTCTCAGCCAATTTCCCATCCACAGATGAAAACACTGAAGTAAATGGCTTGGTACCCTTTGCTCTGCTGAATTAATGACCATGCCTCCACTCTGCTTTCCATCTTCCAGAAACTTGCCGGTGTCTCATTGCTTTCAATACCTTTTTATTGCTTTCTATCATTTAACAGGGTCTCAGGGAACAGTGGTTAACAAAAATTCCCTCCTTGGTTTGTTTTTAAAGCTAAAAGACAGACTGTGGCTCTAGAACTGCTTGAATCAGAAAGAAAATATGTCATTAACATCTCTCTGATCCTGAAGATCAAGGCAACATTCCAGGGGTCAGATGGAAAGAGGAATTCTAAAGAGAGAAGGTACCCATGTATTCATTGCCTTTGCTTTTCAGATTGATTAAAATTTAAGGTAAGTTGTTTACTGTTTCCACTTTGGGAATTCTGGTACTTATCAAGAGCATAGACATGGAAAAGAGAATAGTCAGTGACTGCAGGTAACCGCTGGCAGGTCTCAACTTTTGACTTCCAGCAGATAAGAAAATGAGTGGAGTCTCTGGGACTTTCAGTGGCTCTGGCATGTCTGTTAAGAATTTAAAGGGGAAAAGTGCAACAGTGAGGGAGGTATTCCTGTCTGTTGCCATCTGCATATTCCACTGGAAATCCTGGAACAACCCCTGGAACCACTTCTCATGGGAGCACAGGGAATGGATGGGAATGGAGATCTGAAGTGGCCATTAGATAAATGATACAGGGCTTAACATTGCTATGAACTTGGGCCTTTCTTATTATTTGTTCAGGAAATCCTGGTTAAGGTATGAGTCCCATGTGAGTGTAGTCATGTTGTGGGGGCAGAGCTTCCATCGGGCCTCTGATGTGTTATAGCAACTTGCTAGTCCCCAGGTTAACACACCCCTCCCTCTATATCTGTTCCAAAACTTCAGATTTTCCCTGCTTCCCTCTCTGCTGAGAGAAAGCAGGAAGGAGAAACTTACGATTTGGTGGGGAACGACTACTGTCATAAAAATGTAATAATCCAGATCAACTGAGGAAAAAGGCCAAGCCAAATAAATGAGAAGTCTGGATGATGGATGACTAAAGACAAACACAGCATTACCATTTTAAGTATTCGACCAGGTGATATGCACTGGTGGTTCATGAAGTTGTGGGAAGCCTGAACTATATTTTCCAGATCCTTATCACCCCCACCCCCAATTTTGCTTGGCTTTGCAGCTGTCAGCAATAAACCCAATCACCAAAACACAATGTTCCTCCATCGAAGCGACTGATGTGAGAAAACGTTCCATGACAAACCCACAATTGCTTCACTATTTGCAAGAATTATTTCACTGCAAAACCGAGATAAATAGAAAGCTGTAAGGAGCCGAAAAGGGTAACATGACACTGAAAGCTGTGAACAGTAGAAGCTCTGGACTGGGTTTTACTTTCTGTGGGCACCTAGATCCTTGCTGGCTATTCCCTCCCCATCTGGCCACTTGATTCCCCCTCCTTCACCCATCCAGCTTGTCTGAACCTCCCAGATTACCCCTTCAGCCCTCTAAGAAGTCTCTCTGGCCTCTTGCTACTTTGTTGGTGCCGAAGGTTCATTCAGTTCACATTAAAACCCAACTAAAACCCAGTCTACCTTTTGATGCGGCTTTGCCTCCACATCTATGAGTCTAAGCCAGCAGCATTTCTTTCTAGCCTCTGAAAATGTGGGGATGGGGTAAGGAGAGCGAAAGAGAGGATTGTTTGCTCCAGCATACAGTAATCAGGCTTCATGCTTGGGTACTTCATTTACTTTGTGAAATCTTCACAAGAACCTGTGAATCCTACCTGATAGATGAAGAAACTCAGGTCCAGTGAGGTTTGAAGCCACATAACCAACTGAAGCCAGAGCTCAAACCCAGGCCTGTCTTGTGCTCTTTCAACATCACACTGCTGCTCGAAGGACCATGTGATTTCAAAGATACCACCTTGACTGACAGCAGTGCGCCAGGTGCCTCAACCAGAAGCTGACTTTGTCTCTTCCTGCTTCGTGAATCAGGCTTCTCCCCTCTGCGCATTTGTCCTTGCTTCAGATCTCAGCTGGCCCATCAAACAGGGGAATGTTTTCAGTTCACAGAAGCTCTTTTCTGCTTGAGCTCTCTTCTACTTCTCGTGACCCATTACTAAGGAAGAAGTGGGCCTTCCCCCAAATCCTGAGATGAAAAATAAAACTATCACTAAAACTACCTTCCTCAAGAAAGTAAGATAATGGTTATTTCTCATACCCATGATGATGCTATTTATGTTAGTTATCTGCTAAGCTGATCCTCTTTTTTGTTTTCATTGCCCAAGAAGAGAAAAGCTCCAACTCAGTAATTTTAGTGCTAATATGAAATCTCTGGTTCTGAGCTTTGCTGTGCTTAGTCACTCAGTCAAGTCCTATTCTTTGCGACCCCACGAACTGTAGCCCGCCAGGTTCCTTTGTTCATGTGGATTCTCCAGGCAAGAATACTGGAGTGGGTTGCCATGCCCTCCTCCAGGGGCTCTTCCCCCACCCAGGGATCGAACCCAGGTCTCCTGCATTGCAGGTGATTCTTTACCGCCTGAACCACCAGGGAAGCTCCTCTGAGCTTTGCAATGTCACCCTTTTCCTACTGTTGTTGAATCGCTAAGTCATGTCTGACTCTTTGCGACACCATGGACTGTAGCCCGCCAGGCTCCTCTGTCCATGGGATTTCCCAGGCAAGAGTACTGGTTGCCCTTTCCTTCTTCAGGGGATCTTCCAGACCCAGGGATCAAAGCCGAGTCTCTTGCATCTTCTGCATTGGCAGATGGATTCTTTACCACTAAGCCACCAGGGAAGCCCTACTCTTTTCCTACCTGAGGTTAGAGCTTCATCCTCCTCCTTAATTCATGGTGTTTCTTTTTTCCTAAGCTTTCTGAACCCTCCACGTGTAGCCTCTTTATTTAAATAGATGAGTGGAATGAAATACAGAACAGAATGAAATTATTCCTCTTCTCTATTGCCGTTTTTCCTCCCATGCAAAGATGAAAATTACCTTATGAACATTTACCTTTCCCATCACAAACCACAAGCCTTCTGCATTTTCTGCCCTCATTGAAAAGTCACCTAGGGGTGAAAACAACACCCACAAGTACAAACCTGATGCTCAAACCCGAGGTTGCCACATCTTCTCAAACCTATAAAATAAAACTTCAGGTTTTCCCTAGAAAAACATGAAGTGCTCAGAAGTCTCTGCAGGCTGCTTCCAGCCAGCCCTGCCCCTGGCTGAAATCACTGGATGCTGCAGGAGCAAGGCTGCCAGTGGAAACCTGAGGGGAAAGTGTGGGCTGTTGTCCACTGGTAGAAGGATCACAGATGTTGGAGTTCTTGGCTTTTTCTGGTATGTTTCACCCACACAGAGCCACTGCCTCAGACCTGAATAGTCCTGCCTGAACCCTTGTCAGGAGGGTTAAAGTCAGCCCCATAGGATTTGCCAGTTAGCCTTTAAAGCTGAACCCCAGGGCCACATCCTCCAAGAGCTCAACTAACTGTATGCTTCAGATCACCACTAGGTGGCACATGTTTTTATTATCAATGCCTCATTTTGCAGCTGAAGCTCAGTTGTTTTGACCTAGGTTACTAATTTAGAACTATAACTGGATGTTCATTGATTGCTTTTAGTTTATTCCCCTTGTTGCTTAAGTACTGTCTTGCAGGAGTTGAAATTACTTTGAAGGCTTTAAAAAGAATAAACTTATGTTGCCATAATCTCACCCCTGGTAAGGAACAGAAAATAAATTGAGCACTTAACATTTTTGTCCTAATGAAAAAGTTGCTTCTGGGAGTCAGGTCAGGCTCCAGGCAAAATAGTGAAATAAGTTAAGTGTGTCTATACTTCTCGCTTCTTTCTCCCTCTGCTTCTCATTTCCTGGCTCACCTCCTCTACACTCTACCCTAATTTCAAATATTATCCTTATTAAATTAAAAAAAAACTTAAAGCCTGTTTTCAATATTTGGTACAGAAAGTGAAAAGTGAAAGTGAAAGTCGTTCAGTCATGTCAAACTCTTTGTGATCCCATGGACTGGGATTCTCCAGGCCAGAATACTAAAGTAGGAGAAATACTAGTATTCTCCAGGCCAGACTACTAGAGTAGGTAGCCTTTCCCTTCTCCAGGAAATCTTCCCAACCCAGGGATCAAACCAGGTCTCCCACACTGCAGGCAGATTCTTCACTAGCTGAGCCACAAGGGAAGCCCAAGAATACTGCAGTGGGTAGCCTATCCCTTCTTCAGCAGATCTTCCTGACCCAGGAATCCAACCAGGGTCTCCTGCTTTGCAGGCAGATTCTTTACCAACTGAGCTATCAGGGAAGCCATTTAGCACAGAATCCACCTTAAATCATCGCTCTTCATGTAACTTACATGCTACCGTGAAACTTAATGAGAGTATTAGCCTTTTGTGATCCCCATCCTAAAACCTTACACTGTCACTCCAGTGGACTGTCCACAAGACACCTGGACTCCAGCCGAGTTAACAACTGTCCAACTCTGCAAGCACAATGGTCATAGTGTAACAGAAGACAGCTTTCTTGAAAGAAAGGAAAAGAAAGGACAGGATAGGACAAAAAAGGAAGGAAAAAAGGACAGGAAGGAAGGAGAGAAAAAGAAGAGAGAAATCAAGACATTTTATACCAGCCTACACTGACCACCCATCACAATCTCAGATCTCACCACTGTGCCCTAACATCTCTCAGTGTCGCACCAGGAATATTGCCCATAGTCACCGTCAGCGTCTGGGTGGGGAGAAATCTTTCATGTCTAGGTCTTTGGCAGGTGTAGTGTTTCACTCTTTCAATGTGATCAGCTCTGCTTTCCTCCATCAGCTTTGTGGTTTCTCCCAGTTAGACTGTCTCCTAGACATGCCTCCAAATTCCCTCTTATGTGGACAGGTATTACTTAGGTCTTCCGAGCCTATTATATGAGCCCTAGCACAGATCAGGAGGCCTCTCCTCCTGTGCTTAGGGATCAGTGGGCTTCGCATGCATGGAGACTCAAGACACAGGGACTGGAGGGGTTGGCAGACCGGAGTAGAAGGAATCCTTGTCCCTTTTCATGGGAGGCTGGCATTTGTGTGTCTACTCTGAGCTGCAGCCACAGGGGAATTTTCTTTGCTTGGAGATGGGCTGAAAACTCCTCCTTCCAAACTGGTGTTCTTCCTACTGTTCTCAACAGAGGTCTACTTGTTTGGGGGTGGCAAAGCACCCCAACTGACCAAAGTACCCCAACTCATTTACTCTTGGTAGACCCTTGGGGAGATATCCAAATAAGTCAGACTCTTAGCAAGAGACAAACAGGCCAACACTTTCATCTCTTTTAAACTTGTAGTCCTGGCAGCGCTCGCCTTTTGAGACAGAGCCACATTCTGCCTATGGAATGTGTTCTCCGCTTTTCCTTTCCTATGGCTCGCCCTTGAGTTCTTTTCTGCATAAAGCCAAGAACTCTTACTTGGTGGCCTGTCCCAGGAACCTGCCTGAGACCTGGGACATGACCATCCTCTCCTGCCTCATTTTCCTGCAACCACTTTACAAAGGATATTAATAAATCTACTTCTTACCTGAAACAGAAGAATCAAGAAAACCAACCAAACTAACATGAAAAACCTTGTGGTCTTGAAAGCACAGGGGAACTTACTTTCAGTTCCCCCAAGTTACCAAGCTGGAGCGGACATCCTGGCTGTACTCCAGCAAGGCTCTACTCCCGTTTCTTCCTGCCTCACTCCTCAGGCCTCTGCTCACCCCGCTTCTCCATCCAATCCACCTTCTCCCATCTCCCATGATTCTCTTTCTGATTCTCCTCTCCATCCCATCCTCCTCTGACTTCTCTCTTCTTTCCTTCATTTCCTCTGAAATAAATGAGACACACGGGGATAGAGGGCAGAGGGTGGGAGAGCAGAGCGGGGCTCAGCAAAACTGGGACTGGCAGGCGAGACCTACTCTGTAGCCTCCTCGGGCAAGACTCCATCCGTTCCCAGATTCCTCTTAGAAACTGAAGGAAAGGGGGAAAGTAACATTTTTATGCCCTCATCCCCTGAACCTTCAGTTGCCAGCTTTAAACGAAACTTCCTCCTTCTCTAAGTCCAGTTGGTAGCTATGAATGACCAAGTGCCACCGTAGTGCTGTCATCTGCAACAGGAATTAGAATAGATGATTTGCACATCAGGTGGGAAGAACTTTAAAACATTGAAAAAGACTTCCCTTAAAATTTTACTGTCATCTAAATAAGAGTGTACCGTTTTGCTTTGAAAAGGTCACTCAAGTGAAGTGCTCTTTACTAGTTCAATACACATTTGAACAGGAATCATCAGTAAAGGGGTCTTGCTGTGGTCTGAGGTTACCTGCTGTGAGGTTGACAGTGACAAACTTTTTTTTGAATACTAAAGGCAGACCTGTGACGCAAAGTGTTTTGAATGACTGGGAAAACTGGCCTTGTTTCCGTCTGTTCGTGAAGAGCCTTTTCTTCTCTACACCTGGTTTGTGTGATCCTGTCTCTATTCTGTTTCAAGCCTCTTCCCTGGCTCTTTACGGTACATTGTCCAGCAGCACCTGGATTTGCTTCACGCTCTGCAGGAAAGGGTCTTGAAGTGGCCACGCCAAGGAGTCCTTGGAGATTTATTCCTTAAGTTAACAAATGATGAGGTAAGTTTTTTCTTAATCCTTCATAACCTTGAATTACATGCATCTGTGTCTTCCCTGTCCATTTCTCTTAATGGAGAATCTAGAGTCAGTGGATTTCAGAGTCCAAGGAGATCTAGTCCAACCTCCTTGTTCTACAGATAATGAAATAAAGTTCAGAGAAAAAAGCATGGTTGAAATTACCCAGCTTTCTAGATATCTGTAGATCTGTGGCTAGAACCCAAGTCTTTTAACTTCCAGTTCATCATTTTTCTGCTGAACTATAACTGCCCACATTGAATATGATGTGTATATGTGTGTGTATATATATGCATGCGCATATATATTCATCCATACATATAAAATACATATATGAGCATTTGTATATATGTATATGCTTTCACACAATTTCATTTCTTAAAGATTTTTAAAAATGTGATGGGTAGCTATTTGTCTAGAATGTTTTTTGTTTTCACTTTCTTGGAGAAAGGATTCTAAGTTTTTAAATCTCTGTAATGTTCTTAAAAAAATATATGATTTAGGTCACAAGCTGCAAACTCAAATGCCTACAGGGCCAGCAGATGACATTAGTAAGTAGAAGTGAGCTGAATGTAATTCAATGTAGGAATACTACTGGGAAGTGAGCTTAAGTGGAGCACATATGCTTTGCCATAAGGAATAGCTGCTCATCTTTATCCACTTATTATGCAGGAAAAAAGGACTAGAGTTGCCAGATATGGTATTTTAAGAGAAGTGGAAAGTCCAGAATTTTGTGTGAAATTTTATTTTTAAAATATTGCATGGGTTAATTGAAATTGGTCTGCAAGTCAGATTTTACCTTCAGTTGACCTCTGTATATGAATGATTCATAATACAAGTTTACAAATTATTTACTTGTATAGAGTGGATGTAATGCCATCCCTCTAAACTCACTTTTACTCATTTGTATTCAATGTGCTTTCTTGAGCTGAGAATTGTTATACCTATGGGAAAATAACTTTGAGAGGTGAGAACTGTTTTCCTGAGGGGATATTCCGTAGGTGAATAAGAAATTAGTGGAAAAAGTCAAGAATTCCAGATCTAAACCCTCTGAGGTGAGTTGGAAAAAGTTCCTCATTTGGATGTAGATGATTGAAGCAGAGAGTAATTAAAAAACAAAATTTGCATTTTTATCACTTAACTGTTTAAAATATTTTTTCAACTTACATGGCACCTTCTTTCTGCTTTGGTTTATCATTTCACTTTCATTAAAGCAGGGATACTGAGTTTTGGTTTCCAAGTCCATAGGACTATTTTCCTTAAAACCAAAAAGATTTTTTAAAAGGTGAATAAAAAAACAAAACAAATATTACTAAACACATTTAGTGAATGATTAAAATAATCTCTGCAAAGTACTCCTTTAGATATGCATGAGTCCGCCTGCCAATGCAGGAGACGCAAGAGATGTGAGTTTGATCCCTGGGACAAGAAGATCCCCTGATGTAGGAAACGGCAACCCACTCCAATATTCTTGCCTGGGAAATCCCATGGACAGAGGAGCCTGGTGGGCTATAGTGCATGGGCTCCCAAAGAACTGACCATGACTGAGCAACTGAGCACACACAAGCATAAACATATTAATTATTATCATTCCTGTCTCCAAGTTCTTACCATGACTTTTTCTGTTTGTTTTCAAGAATAATTTTTTGGATTATTATGTTGCTTACCTGAGGGACTTGCCTGAATGCATCTCTTTGGTTCATGTGGTTGTTCTGAAGGAGGTAAGTTAACTCTATGTTTGCATTCTCCTTTGGTTACTTGTGTGACTACATTATGTTGCTCACCTTTCCAGAAAACACAGCACATGCACTCTGAGCTTGTTCTCCAGGGTGCGGAATGGCTTGAACAAAGCCACTGACTCTCCTCCCTGGGGTTCAAGGAGCCACTCAAGGATCAGTGCCATTGCTTTGGTCTTTGCCCTTCTTTACTGAACTTCTGTTCCATTCCACTGGAAATACAAAGTAAACAAATATTCTAACCAGAGATCCTCAGGCTGCAGTTTGCAACCTTAATGGGTTTGGGGCTTTATAGACTTAGACATATTAATCTGAATATTAAATTCATGTCATATTGTGTCTGTCATTTTATAAGATTATAAAATGGCTCTAGTCATGTTGCTTTAAGTATTGCTACTGCAGTGATATATTAGATGCTAAATAAGCACATATACATCTAAAGCAATTCTAGTTATTTTAGGTCAATAGAAAAGTACTATATCAGAAGCTCTAAAGCTAAGAGTTAATTAAGTTTCACAAGAGGTGAGAGGCTCTCTTAACTTTCTACTTCAACCTCTGACTGTTCTCAACCCAGTATAATACCTACCACATATTAGCACTCAGCAAATATTGAGTCAGCCTAAAATTTCATGGGGGTTTTTCCATAAGATGTTACAGAAAAACCCAAATGAGCTTTTTGACCAAACTGATATTTGAGCAAGGAGAAAGGAAAGGAAGGGACATGAAGAAAATCCAGCATGTTTCCTGTTGCCACCCGGTTTCTCCCTTCTTCATTCTCATGAGGTTCAAAGCACCTTCAACGCCTGTTGGTAAAAACACTGTACAGATTACTTGCTGAAGAACCTTAACAAACTTAGTCCACTTACGTCTAATTTATTGAGTGCTCACGTTGCTAAGACGGTGTTGGCGGGTGGGGAGGAGGAGGGGGTGGTTTGGACACAGGTAGACTCTAAAGAAGAATATGACACGCTCCTTGTTAGCAAAGAGGTGTCTTCTTGAGCATGTCCCTGAATAAGTAGCCTCTCCAATGACAGATCAATGTTTCGTGACACTCTCGATGAAGAAAATGCTCTAGTAAACCCTTGCTACTCTAGTAGAACTAACCTCAGTTTTGCAGCCAGAACTGGAGGCACCCTGAAGACTGACTCCAACTTTCTTTCATTCAGGGTGATGAAGAGATTAAGTCTGACATCTACACATTGTTTTTTCATATAGTCCAGCGCATCCCTGAATATCTGATACATCTACAGGTAGGCATGGCTGGTCAAGCCACCAAACTGATTTTCATGCTAAACAGTTGTTTTGGGCTTCCAATGAAAAGACACCATAAAGGGTCAAAGAATCATTAATATTTCTAAAAAGTGTTTGAATGATTTAGATTTTTATGATTACCCTATCTCCACCTTGTGGTATGAGCTAAAATCTCATCCTCAAAAGTTTTTGGCTCAGGATGCCCAAAAGGAAATTCTATCTTTATTTACCAGCAATTCACACCTATGCTGATCCAGGATCTTTCTATGGCAGCTCCTGCCAGATACTGGGAAACTCTTCAGTTCCTTGCATCTTGGTTCCACAGCCATCTAAATTCACCTCCACTCCCAGCCCTATCCCTTGGGTATCTAAGAAATATCTATACAACCTCCCCACGTACCTGCTATTCTGACTACTTTCTTTTGACTTGTGTCCAAGGATCTACCATACTTTGCTTATGTCTCGTGTCATGAAAGAAGCATGGAGAAGCTGATGAGCTGACATCGTCACACCATTTTCCTATAGGCTTGTAGCATCTTAGAGGCAGTAGGGTTGAGAGAGACTCATCAACACCCCTACCAGTCCCTCTTCTTCCCACTACCCACCTGTTCTGGTTTAATTGCTGACTGATTTTTCTAAGCAATTCAGTGAAAGTATCTCAGAACTGCTTGGAATTTGTCTCAGGTAGAAGTAGCCCCGTATTAATAATAAAAAGACTTTCAACTGTATATGGCTTTATATCTTGAAATCATTCTTTCATAATAATTATCTAATTTAATCTTCAACTATCCCATGAAACTGGTATCATTATTAACGCTTTAGATAGTGGAGAGACAAAGAAGTAATTTGCCAAAGTTAAGATATTTGGTTGGTGAAAAAAATATAGGCTTGAAACCCAGGTCCTGCAAGCAGTGTGTAAGTAAGCAAATAAGAACCTAGAGTCTACTCTCTGGCTTGAGTTCAAATCCTAGCTTTGATCTTCATTAGATGTGTGACCCAGTGAAGATTATTTAACTTCACTGTACCTTGATTTCCTTCTTTGTTAAATGGAGGTAATAATGGTACCTATCTAACTGGGTTTGGACAAAAGTTAAATGAGAAAATGATGTAAATGACTTGGTGCTTGGCAATGGGAAGCACTCAGTAACTGTTCAGTTCAATTCAGTTCAGTCGCTCAGTAGTGTCCAACTCTTTGCAACCCCATGGACTGCAGCATGCCAGGCCTCCCTGTCTATCACCAACTCCCGGAGTTTACTCAAAGTCATGTTCATTGAGTTGGTGATGCCATCCAACCATCTTATCCTCTCTCGTCTCCTTCTCCTCCTGCCTTCAATCTTTCCCAGCATCAGGGTCTTTTCAATGAGTCAGTTCTTTGCATTGGGTGGCCAAAAGTATTGGAGTTTCAGCATCAGTCCTTCCAATGAACACTAAGGATTGATCTTTAGGATGGACTGGCTGGATTTCCTTGCAGTCCAAGGGACTCTCAAGAGTCTTCTCCAATACCACAGTTCAAAAGCGTCAATTCTTCAGTGCTCAGCTTTCTTTATAGTCCAACTCTCACATCCATACGTGACTACTGGAAAAACCATAGCCTTGACTAGATGGACCTTTGTTGGCAAAGTAATGTCTCTGCTTTTTAATATGCTGTCTAAGTTGGTCATAACTTTTCTTCCAAGGAGTAAGCGTCTTTTAATTTCATGGCTGCAGTCACCATCTGCAGTGATTTTGGAGCCCCCCAAAGTAAAGTCTGTCACTGTTCCCACTGTTTCCCCATCTATTTGCCATGAAATGGTGGGAACAGATGCCATGATCTTTGTTTTCTGAATGTTGAGCTTTAAGCCAAATTTTTCACTCTCCACTTTCACTTTCATTCAAAAGGCTCTTTAGTTCGCTTTCTGTCATAAGGGTGGTGTCATCTGCATATCTGAGGTTATCAATATTTCTCCCTGCAATCTTGATTCCAGCTTGTGCTTCATCCAGCCCAGCATTTCTCATGATGTAGTCTGCATATAGGTTAAATAAGCAGGGTGACAATATACAACCTTGACATACTCCTTTTCCTATTTGGAACCAGTCTGTTTTTCCATGTCCAGTTCTAACTGCTGCTTCCTGACCTGCATACAGGTTTCTCAAGAGGAAGGTCAGGTGGTCTGGTACTCCCATCTCTTGAAGAATTTTCCACAGTTTGTGGTGATCCACCCAGACAAAGGCTTTGGCATAGTCAATAAAGCAGAAATAGATGTTTTTCTGGAACTCTCTTGCTTTTTTGATGCTCCAGCGGATGTTGCAATTTGATCTCTGCTTCCTCTGCTTTTTCTAAAACCAGCTTGGACATCTGGAAGTTCACGGTTCATGTACTGTTGAAGCCTGGCTTGGAGAACTTTGGGCATTGGTTTACTAGCGTGTGAGACAAATGCAATTGTGTGGTAGTTTGAGCATCCTGTGGCATTGCCTTTCTTTGGGATTGGAATGAAACCTGACTTTTTCCAGTCCTGTGGCCACTGCTGAGTTTTCCAAATTTGCTGACATATTGAGTGCAGCACTTTCACAGCATCATCTTTGAGGATTTGAAATAGCTCAACTGGAATTCCATCACCTCCACTAGCTTTGTTTGTAGTGATGCTTCCTAAGCCCCACTTGACTTTGCATTCCAGAATGTCTGGCTCTAGGTGAGTAATCATACCATTGTGATTATCTGGGTCATGAAGATCTTTTTTGTATAGTTCTTCAGTAACTGTTAGCTTTCCCAAACCCAACCAGCATTCATGTTCCACTACAGCACAGCAGGCATTGTAATGGGAGGGGGTGCTAGGCCAGGCTTGATCATAACGTCCCCCTACTTCCAGCCCTGATGCCTGACATTCTCACCATTGGTTAGAGACAATAATTGTTAGAATGAAGTAATCTCCATTACTTCAGAGATCTAGTTAGTAGATCCTTCTAATTTTCCACATGTTCAAATTCAACTCAAACAGGAGCAAAAATGACTGTTATTTTCCCGAGGTGCGATGGACAAAGGGAACAACAAGTTTGACTTTTCAGGTTGTAATTAAATTGGCCATTGTTTTGAGTAAGTGGCTACCAAACTCTCACAGCATATCAAGGCAAGGTACACAAGAGACAAAACAACTTTTCATTCTAACTCTGCAATGCTGCTTCCTTTTTTTCTTCCATCCAGAATGTCCTGAAGTTTACAGAGCAGGAACACCCTGACTATTACCTACTTCTGGTGTGTGTTCAGCGCCTGCGAGTATTTATCTCACACTACACCCTGCTGTTTCAGTGCAATGAAGATTTGCTTATTCAGAAACGGAAAAAGCTCAAGAAGTAAGGTTCTGATGGTGAAGTTTAGAGGGTTGACCAAAGGTTTCTGAGAACAGGGATACACATGGTCAATGTGAGTGTCTGTTGCAAGTAACCAGATTGTATGTAAAGTAGCGGAAATGTAGTGGTGGAGGCAGCAGAGAAGAGAGAAGCGAATAGAAGAGAGGTGGCCAGGCTGGCTACAGGAGGGAGGTACTTACTAGCTGGTAGAACTTACTTTAGAAAAATAAGCAAGTTTGCTCTAATGTTTATGCGGACCTTCTATTATCTCATGTTGCTAACCATCTCAAAAATAGTTATTTTGCTAAACTTGCCTGGTTTAAAATTGCAGTTTAAAGGCCAAAATCTGATTTCTTTCATTAACTCAAGAAATATTTATTGAGCACCTATGGTATATCATGGAGAAGGAAATGGCAACCCACTCCAGTGTTCTTGCCTGGAGAATCCCAGAGACGGGGGAACCTGGTGGGCTGCCGTCTATGGGGTCGCACAGAGTTGGACACGACTGAAGCGACTTAGCAGCATGGTATATCAAATACTGTTCTGCAAACTGAATACACTGCAAAGAATAAAACAGTCAAAAATTGTTGCCACATGCAGCTTACTTTTTAGACCTGGAGAGCCAGGTAATAAATAAGATAGATGGTTTTAAGTGCTATGGATAAAAATAAAACAAATAAGGGAGAGGGTGGTGGTTGAACAGATTTCACACTAAGAAGAAATAGGGAGGACTGAAGAAAATCTGGTCTTCAAAGGGAGCAGAAGCAACTCATAACAAATCTTCCTAATAACCTGGAGTTTTTTCAACCTCATCCCAATCCAATGAAGAAAACAGAATCATTTCTACCAGTGCTTCACATTAAAAGAAGATGCTATCCTCCAAGTCAGGGCTCCTCTAATGGATGACACCTCCCCATGCTCCCCCTACCCCCAAACTCAGTTCAGCCAATTGATCAGCATCCCTACTCCCACCCAGCAGTCAGCTTGCACTCTAATATACCAGCAACCTAGTCTGTAGAGCGCCTGGGGAGAGCGAGAACCTCACAGCTGAGATTCACCTGAGAAACTGTACTTTGCTTGGTATAATCTATACATTCAGAGAGTTGATTTTCCACTGAGAATTATTACCTCCACTCTGTTAGGTCATCCATGGCGAAGCTGTACAAAGGGCTGGCTTCCCAGTGTGCAAACGCCGGGCAAGACGCTTCTCCCACTGCAGGCCCTGAGGCTGTCCGTGACAGTGGGATCCACTCAGAAGAGATGCTGCAACCCTACCCTTCCGCTCCCAGTTCCGGCCCTGCTGTCACGTAAGCACCCGTTGCTGTGGAAAGGTTCATGACAATGCCCTCACGTCCCAGGCAGTCTGTATGGGGTAGCAGGCCAGTCTGTGTGGGTTAGCAAACCAGCTTGGAGTAGGAGTATGACTTACAGGGCTCCTTCCTCCCACTCCCATCAGGTCTATACGTGGCAGGCAAACAGCTGACCCAATGTCTGGATCCCAGAGGAAGGCACTCATGTTAAGGAGCAGGCCTAGAGGCTGGAGGTTACTCCCAACAAGGTTACCACACGTAACCATCCCCCACCTACAGCATGTGTCTCTCAGGTTTTGCACAATGATAGAGTGGAAGGGAGTGCCATAAGATGACAGGAAGGCATTTTATAGCTCTCAGAAGAGTGGGGCTTTAATGTCTCCAAGAGATACAGTGGGAAAAAAGGCTATCCCAGCCAGGGGTCAGAGGAAGTCTGGGCTCTGAGGATAAGACATTGGTCTGAGATGATGCAGAATATTGATTAGCATCTCCCAATTTTCCTTGAAGCTGCTTCAGAAATAGACTTCATGACCTCTGTTCTTCACTTAAAACAGCTTCTCTGAAAGCTGTTCTGGGTCGTGAATGGATGTGATCATTGTTAAAGTCTCTGCACACAACCTTTTCAAACACTAAACTGGTTTTTTCATTTAGCAAACTTCTTGATGATCTTTAGGGTAAGGATTAGGCCACATATCTGGAACTCATTTTACCTCTGAAGGATAAGTGGACTTGGGCCACCTCTGAAACTAGGACTTCTGGAAGGATCAGGGAAACCAAAACTCAAAATTCCAAATCCCCACTTTACCAAATATAGACAATTCTCCCCAAATAATTCCTCGGACTATAATTTCTGCTTTGGGTTTTATTAAGGAAAAATTAGAAATCATGCAAAAAGCTACTTTTCTAATATTATAATGAAGAGAGAAGCAGTTGCGCTTATTTCATTTTTTAATCACTAGTTTTTAGAATGCAAATTACAATTATGGAAGGAGCAACTGATCAATAACTCAAATCCTGTTTGCTTTTTGCCTTCATCTCTTGAATTGAGAACACTTAGCAGTAAGAGATGGTGGAGAAGGAAATGGCAACCCACACCAGTATTCTTGCCTGGAGAATCCCATGGACAGAGGAGCCTGGTAGGCTACAGTCCATAGGGTCGCAAAGAGTTGGATATAACTGAAGTGGCTTAGCACAGCATAGCACATCAGTGAGAGATGAAGTGCAAATGTGCAGTCAGGAGGGTGAAATTTCATAATCATTCTGAAAATCTGAGACATTAATCTTTCTATACATAAAGCCCAGGATGATTTTCCTACTATAGAGAAAATCCTAGAAGACCTGTAGAGAGAGTACACCACACAGAAAAAAATACCTTTCCTGGGAGGGGAGAGAGACAGCTTTTTTTCACTTCTGTTAAGACAACGATAAAACTATCTTCTTTGAAGTTAAGACTTATGCTGCCCCAAAATGAAATCCCTAGAGGTTACACCCAGAAGAACATGGCTGCCATGGCACTCTGTTGGGAAAATAACCAGAAAAGAAACCCAAGTCTTCCAAGTTGAAAGAGAATTCAAGTCAACATTCCATTTTACTATATTTTCACCTTTGTAAATGTGACACCTAATTTTTAACTTAAGACCATCAGACAAAATAGTGTTACAGTTTATTTCTGCATTCTTTATGCATTTTTGTGGTAAAATTTAGTATAAATAAATAAGCTAACACAATAACTAGTTTGGGTCAGTGTGCAGTAGTCCACTCTTATCTGTCTGGCAATTAAATTCCAGTAGAACTAGCAAGTCACATCCAATCTGATGCGTATGCTATCCAAGTATCCAGTGTGAATTATTCTTTATCCACGATTAAACAAAAAAATAACTCTCCATGAAATCGGGCATATTCAGAGTGACAAACTTTTCATTTTGGTAATGTTCTTGTGGATGGAAGTTTGAGACGACTTATATAGTATGCTTTATAGCCACAGGGAATTTTTTAGTTTATTATGAAAATGTCAAATACATACAAAAGCAAAATGTCCAGTGAACCCCGCATACCATCATCCAGATGTTTTTTACTTCATCCAGATGTTTTTTTTACTGCTTACTTCATCTGGGAATTTAATTGCTCTTAAGCAGGAAGATCCTTGAGTTGAACAAAAGTTGTTTCCATGATTTTCTATGACTCTGCTAGGACAAAAAAGGGAGAGAAGAGAGAAAAAGATGTGCCTTGGGGCCTTGACACATGGTGGACAGGGTCAGCGCTGAGCATCCTTGGCCTACCAGCCATCTCTACATAGTGCCTCTGGGCTCAGATGGGTACTTCAAGGATCCTCTTCACAGACGGTTATTTTCACTCTCCCACTTGGGGGACCAGGGCTCCTGGGGACTCCTTAATTTGACAAGCCTGTGGCGCTTGGTAGGTAACACACAGAGGCGCCTGGGAGGGCCGGAGAAGAGGGAGCAGACAGTTTGCGTCTAACCGATATCTGGTAGGCACTGTGTGGTTCCTGGCCTCGCGCTGCTCGGGGACAGGCGCGCACTAATACACCGTAAGCACACCTCTTTTGTATTGTCTCCCCTTTAAAGACATTTGATGCCCCCAGTGAAGAAAAGCCAACAGCAGCAAAGCTTGATGGAGAGCATGCAGCCCGGGAAGCCCAGTGACTGGGAGATGGAGGGCAGAAAGCACGAGAGGCCCGAAAGCCTCCTGGCGCCTGCGCAGTTCTGTGCCGCTGAGCAGGACGTGAAGGCGCTCGCCGGGCCCCTGCAGGCCATCCCGGAGATGGACTTCGAGCCGTCGCCGGCGGAGCAGCTGGGCAACGTGGAGCGCTCCCTGCGCGCCCCGGCCGAGCTCCTGCCCGACGCCCGCAGCTACGTGCCCGCGGCCTACGAGGAGTTTGAGTATGGCGGCGAAATCTTCGCGCTGCCCGCGCCCTACGACGAGGAGCCCTTCCAGGCTCCGGCCCTCTTCGAGAACTGCTCGCCCGCCTCTTCCGAGTCCAGCCTGGACATCTGCTTCCTGCGGCCCGTCAGCTTCGCCATGGAGGCCGAGCGGCCCGAGCACCCGCTGCAGCCGCTGCCCAAGAGCGCCACGTCACCGGCGGGCAGCAGCGGCGCCTACAAGCTGGAGGCGGCAGCGCAGGCGCACAAGGCCAAGCCGCTGAGCCGCTCGCTCAAGGAGTTCCCGCGCGCGCCGCCGCCCGAGGGCGTGGCCCCGCGCCTCTACAGCACGCGCAGCAGCAGCGGCGGCCGCGCGCCGCTCAAGGCCGAGCGCGCCGCGCAGGCGCACGGCCCAGCCGCCTCCGCTCGCGGCGCGCCCCGGACCTTCTTTCCCCAACAGAGGTCCCAAAGCGAAAAGCAGACCTATTTGGAAGTAAGGAGGGTAAAGTAAAACCAACCCCAAACCCACAGCGCTGGCAACCCCGGGCCTAGATCTCCAGGGGTGCAGCCTGGGCTCACCTAGCATGGAGGGGAACGCAGGATGGCCAGGCGGGGGCAGCAGAAGATGCTGAGAGCCCGTGTTACTTACAGGCTTGTCCGTCAGTGGTCCTCGGAGGAAAGTGTTAGCTCTCATTCTTCAGGGCCAGGACGCAGGAGCATGCCATACCTGTGTATGTGTATGATGACAAAGAGACTAGGAATCCTTAGACCTGCTTAAAACACCCCCCGCCCACCACCACCAAGTTAAAGAGTTACAGGTGTTCTCTGCTTTCCTGCTTAAGCGGTGGCACCTCCCAGACGCAGTTCATATGCAAAACACTTCACAGAAGTCCCAGGGGCTGTGTCTTCTTTGCCTATTAAACGCACCCCTTATTGTTCAAAATATCGAGCCCTGTGTGCTAGCCTACTGTACTTCCTGACCTGCACCCTTGTTTATAGCTAGGGAGGAGGCAAGTTGCCCTTTCTCCCTGAGGATTCCTGAAAAGTTCATTTCCACTTGCTTTCCTTTTGCCTGGAAAAGGGTGTCATTGGTACTTTGCAGACTCCAGTTGGACGAAGACAGCACCAAACTGTCCAGAAAGCATTGACTCACAAACACCTTCTTTGGCCTCTATATGGATGTTTGGTATTTTGATGTTTGATCTTGACATCAGCAAGCCTTGGGACATTTAAAGAAGTGTTTAAATACATATTCGTGAAAGGACTAATAGTTCCTGAATAAACAGTGTCTCCGCAAGTGATTGGAACAAAGGCAATTTCTGATTAAGTAGAGAGTAGCAGAGTGGCTCTGAGCTGCGCCCCCATTCTTCCTGTTTAACATTTTAGAAGCAGGGTTAGGATTTACAGGGCAGCACAAGGTGATTGAAACACCTTGAAAATGACATTCCAGGACTGCCCTTCACTAAGTGTCTCTTACATCCAGCACTAGGGATCCTTTGCCTCCAGGAGAAATGATTTTCCAACTGGAGTGAGGGCCCTGCATTCCACCTGTTCCTATTTCTAAAGGAGTGGGAAGAGGTTGAAGATCACTGACTCCATTCATTTTTCAGCAAATCCTGACCGCCTGCCTCACCCCAGGCTCTGTGCTAAGTGTTGAGGGTTCAGAAATAAACGACATCCAGTCTCTGTCTTCCAAGGCCACTGGCTTAGCCCTGAAGGAGACACATAAACAGAATTATAATAAACCATGGGAGCACATCAGTGGGTCTCTATTTCAACCCTCAGAGAAGTTTCAGATAGTTTGAATGTCTGTATTCAATTTTAAAAGCTGCTTAGCTATTGGCTAAGTGAAGACTGGTGTAGGAAAATATAAAAAAGAAAGCTCAGGGGCCTTAAAAAAAGAAAAAGGCAGGAGTGAGTCTTCTTTTGAATACTTCCCCAGCTGGGAGTGGTGGATATTAAGCCAGAGGAACATGAAGAACCTTGGAGCTTCTAGCCCATCTGGACTCCAGAAATCAAAGTCTGTGTCTGGCTCCTGAAAGGCAGAAATACCTTAGTGTGCCCAGCTAAGGTTGCTGAGGGGCCCTGCCTGGGATTCTCAGATTTCCTTCTGCCTCTGATTTTCAACTCTGAACTTTATACTGTTTTACTAGGTAAAATTTCTTAGATAAATCAAAGTTAGGCATGTGTCAAAGTTTAAAAATTTAGGGACTCGTCTGGCAGTCCAGTGGTTGAGACTCCGTGCTTCCAATGCAGGGGAGGGGTGGTGGTGGCATGAATTTGATGAGTTTGATCCATGGTCAGGAAACTAGGATCTCACATGTTGCACAGCATGGCCAAAAAAAAAAAAAAAAAAAAGTGGATGAGACAATGAAAGAGATATATATATATTTTTAAAGTTCATTAACAAAGGAAGTAGAAAATACTAGTGCCAACTCAAAGTGACTTGGAATGGGCAGAGATATACATCCAAAATCTTTTAACTCCTATAGTATAAGCTCCAAAGAATGCTTTTATTTCATATGCTCATACAAATCTCTTTTTGTTGATGTGTGAAAAATTGGGAGCTCACCAAATGGTTTCGCCAGGCTAAAACCAGAGTGAGATGGGGTTTTAGTTGCAAAAGATGAGCCCTTCAAAAGCCCCATCTGTGAAGATATCAGCACTTTCCTGATGAGGTGTGCAAAGCTCCTAGGGTTCCATCTCCTCAGATATACTGTGTATTTACCATCCTTGCCCTCAGAGCCAGCCAAACCCTAGTCCTTAGTGTTCTGTCTCTAAGAGTCAAGAAGGAGACAGTATGCTTTAGCGGCAAGAGCACCTGACTGGGAGTCAGGAGACCCGTGTTCTAATCCTGACTCTGCTGCCAAATAGCTGTGTGCTTCTGGACAATTCATTTGGCTTTTCTGCCTCCAGTTTTCTCATCTATGAAATAAGACAATCCATATCTTACCTACCTCACAGGGTTGTTGTGAGGATAAGGCCAAATAAGATAAAGTTTGTGAATATGCTTTGTAAAGTGTGAAATGCTACACAAATGCAAGATCTTACCAAGATCATGATTCTACAGAAAGATTTTCCTTCAACTGTTAGTAGATTTAGTTCCTAAAAAGTCCCTAAAAAGCCCACTTCTCAAGATGTGGTCCTGGCACGAGTGGTAAATGCTTTACCTGTGAGCTTGTTATAGATGCAGAATTTGGGCTCCACCAGTGACCAACTGAATCAAAATCTGCGTATTAGCAAGATTCCCAGGTGATTCATGTAAACATTAAGTGCAGGTGGGCAAGAATATACCCTAAACTGCTGGTTTTCCTCATCTGTGTGCAAAAAGATTAGCTAGGCCTAACTTCAGAGATTCTGATTCAGATAGTCTGGCTTAGGGCTCAGGAGCCTACATTTAAACGAAAGCCCCAGTTGATCCTATAGCCCCAGGACCACACTTTCAAAAATGCTACACTCAGCCATCAAAATGTTGATCTCTATTATTTAGTTATGAATCTTAGTAGAATCCCAACAAATCCCTAGATCTAGTGTCTTAATTAGCCCAGGTTTGCTTTAGTTGGAATAGGTGCCTGTCATTAGTCTTTTGGGGTGGGAAAGGAAAGTGAGAGGTTAAAAAAAATTGTCCCATAGTCAGGATCAACGTTAACTTTGGAAAAGAGTAAAAATACACCCCTCTTTTGTGTTTCCAGGAGATGCATTTAGAAGATGCCACCAGATTCTGTCCAAAGGAAGAAAGAGAAAGCGAACAAACATCTTTCAGCGATCAAAACCCCAGGCAAGACCAGAAAGGGGGCTTTCGCAGCTCCTTCCGCAAGCTCTTTAAAAAGAAGTGAGTAGCCCTTAGACAAGACAGCACTGTAACTCATTTCCCTGTGGGCTAAGTCCTGAGGTTTTAACAGTAACAAGTAGCCTGGTCTTACACAACGGCTTCAAGCTCAGTGCCTGTACCCAGTAGCCACAGTTCCTGCCAGGGTGAAGATGTTTCTCACTGTGACCTCCTAGAGTAAAAGCACACTCGGCTCTGTCCTCTGCCGCCTCTGTCTTTTAGCCCTGCCTCCTTGTTCCCAGAGTCCCGTGTCCTGGGAGGAGTGGGCAGAGGAGGTCTCCTGGGAAATCCCCATGGGCGCGAGGAGTGGGATCCCCTATCGGGGTTGGGTGTAATGGGTGGGAGGTTTTCTCAGGCATCGCAGCTCTTCCGCCTGTAGGGGCCTGTAGTTATCCTGGTTGCTAGTGCATATCTGGGGCACATCTGCCTGTGTTTTCCCTAGCACAAATGATTGGATGGATTTGGCTTGGGTCCTACTTAAAAAATCACTTTAATGGAGTTTCCGTACTCCATAGGAGGCAAAAGCAAGGCATTTCTTTCCTGTGGTCCTTCTAAGAGTCTCAGCCCTTGCTGTGTGATATCACCCACCTGTCATTTTGGTCAGCACTTACAAGCACTGTCTCACAGAGTGGGAGGCATTGGCCAAATGCCAGCATGAAACTAAGATGAAAGCACTGAATGTTAGTGTTTGGCAGTGGGGGGGTCTCCAAGCCAGCCATCACCCCGCTGGGAGACTACTGTCTCTTTCTCCACCCGTCCTCAGGCCTGTTGTCTCCCCCTTAGAGAGAGTTGTTGCCTGGTGCTTAGCTTCCCTTGTTAGAGGAGGTTCTCACAGTGAGCCTTAAACAGCAAGTGTTCCTATTTTAGTGGATGGAAAAGTTAAAGACACTGTTGCTGACTTCCTAGAGTTTGGAGTTCCTGTGTGAGAAAACACAGGGAAATCACTTTCTCCCAATTTAGATAGTGGTCTTGATGGAAGAATTGGGGGCAGGCTTGGACTGAGGATTTTTGTGGTTGGTTTGTCTAATTCTCTTCTAGAGGGAAGGTAGTACGGAGATTACTAGGTCTCTCTGATCATTGGTCCCACCCTTTGTTACTGGAAGAGGGAAGGGGGACCAGCAATCCTGCAGAGAGAGCCCTATTCCTATTCTAGCCCTTTCAGTTTTGCTAGAGTAGCCCGGGCATGCGTGACTGCTGGGGCCCCTTGATTTAGGGGTAATGAGCTGAGAATTGAATCTCTTTCTAGGACCATAGATTTAAATCTTTTCTGACCTAGCATCTCCTGACAATTATGACAGTGGAGAGACTGGAGACAGATAGTTCTCCAGCCTGACTTTGGAATGCAGGTTTCTGAATCCTGCTAAGAACTCCAGACTCCTAAGACCACTGCTTGAACCTTTTATTTTTACTTATTTTTAAAACCACAGTATTTCCCATGAAAACAGTCACTTTTTGCCATTTACAATGACTGCCTGCTGCCTGTTGGCAAGCATTGAGTATGGATCTGTCACTGGTTTCTTTGCACATTCCCGTTTTTTCAGCGAGATGTAAGAAAACACTCTGCCTGTTCCCTGAGGCCAAGGGAGTGAACTTGCCTGCCCTGTATCCAAGGGACACAACCAGGAGCAGTGGATAAGAGAGGAACTTTCTTAAAACGCAGCTGCCTAGAACTGGGGCTGGCTGCCCCACGAGGCCGTGGATTCTCCTAAGGAGGATTTGGGTGACCCTGGTCAGGGAGGCTGTGAAAGGAAACCCACACCGGGTGGGAGATCACTGCTACCTGAGTGCTTTCTAGCTCGAGATTTGCTTTATCTGTATTTTGATTTTGTTGTAGATCAGTCTGGGAGATCACATCTTTTTAATGCTTGAAACAAGAAATCGGTGTGGCCTGGGACCCATCATTTTAATGACCATGTAGAAGGCCAGATTTTATCTTTCTATAGCCTCCCACAGCTGTTGGTTCAGTGCCAAGGACTTGCTGTGGACTCTTCAAATTTTCATGTTGGATAATTACTTTCAGCCCTCTGGCAGATTTTTGGGATCCTTTCTGGAGGGTCAAACGGATGCCCCGAGTCCTCTCCTACTTTTATCATAGACAGGTCCCTCCTGCCTCAGTCCAGTTGCTGCCACCACTTCTGGCGCTGCCTTTGTATTTAAAGTCTGAAGTGTTATACGGATGGAAGTAAAGGCAGAGCCATACGGTTGTTGCTCCCTCTGGTCGGTTTTCTGGCTTTTTGCATCTTGTGTAGGACTGTGAGCACGGCTGTGTGATACTTGCTTGTCGCCTTGCATCCGGGGTGCTGTGGTGGGCACCCTGGAGGCTTGGCTCGAGGTAAAGAAGCAGCTTGAGTAGCTTCTCCTGAGTATTTTCATCCAGGAACCTTGCAAAGTTTGTTCCATTTTGCTAAAGTAGAGACAAAGGGCAGGGAGGCCCCGGCAGAGCGCAGAAAGGTCAGCGGCTCTCAACTCAGATGAGAACACTCGACTCTTCTCATGAATGAAGCGTTCTTTGCCATCCACAGGTACTGTGTGAGATGCTTGTCTAGGAGTCGTGAGTGACTTGGTTGGTCCCAGCTGTTACGTAGGAACTCGCAGACTGAAGCCAGGCATACGGACAGACACAGGGAGGAAGCAGATAGGAGAAACCCATCCTCCTGCCCTGTGTCGGGAGGTCAGGCTGGCAGCAAGCCCTGTGACTTCAAGACATGCTTCATCCTGGGTTCTGAAGTCAGGGGTCCAAAACGGATCAGCGCCAGAACGGCGGCCTGTGTCACAGCCGGGGCTCACTGCCTGCCTCCCCACAGCCCTCTGGAGGCGCGTTCCTGTCTACACTGACACACTTTTTGTATCCATAGGGGCTTGTTTGGCTGGTGGCCCCACACACCCAGAATGCTGCTTCGGGATGAAGTTAGGCATGGAGCCAGATGCAACAGAAAACCTGGGAAAGGGTTCTCTTCCCTCTGAGGCTGGGAGGGCCGAATGCTCATACCCACAAGGATTCAAAAGGGAGAGTCAAGTTGACATCATAAAAAAAAAAATCCTGAAAAATGCCCAAGATATCTGTGGGAGAGGATGATGCTCTGACCGTTTCTATCTCAGGCACATTCATCCTGGGTAGATACCAGGTCACATGTCCTTGAGAGCTGCCCAGAATTGGTCAAAATAAAGACGACATATCTTAAAGTTGGAAAGCGTTAAGTGATTTTAAAAATTTTTAAATGAGGATTCTTAGAAGCCAGGAACAGAACAGACCTCATGTGATAGGTTGATGCTGGACTGAATCCTTGTTCCCCTGCCTTTGAGCAGGATGGAAGATAGACCATCCCATTGTACAAGCATTGACCTGGAAGCTTTCAAAAACTTAAATCTAGACTGTCCTGAAGTCTGAGACCGGTGCTACTTCATCCCTGTGTGTGAATCTTACACTTAGGCCAGTACGTAGTCTTGGCTGGGGCTGTGCATGCGGGAAGAGGGTTCTGTAAGACACCGCAGGGGCAGGGATGTACATGCTGGCTTTATCCTCAACTCTCGTGGGAGTGGAAGACAAAGAATATGGCGTCCAAATGATTAATTCTACTTCCTCACCCGTTTCTTCCTCTTTAGCACTTTGTAATTTACATGCCTCAGAGGGTCTCTTTCCCAGTCAGCAGCCTCCCTGTACCAATCCCATGGAAATCTCTTCTTTCTTTAATCACACACTGCAGAGAGAGCACTTCCACAGAGTCCCATATGACTGAGTGTCAGTGAGTCCGCTTTTATGATGTCTTGCCTTTGCCATCTGCCCAGCTTCGACTGTGGAGCAGACCATGTCATAGAAAGCACGGCTACTAAAGAATCCATTGATACTGCACCCTCACGTTCTTCTCTACCTCCTTAGAGCCCGCCTCAACTTCTTCCTCCATTCTTAGCCACTTTGGGATTCTCTCTCATTTCCCATTTTAATTCCCTATATAAGTTGAAAACAGAAGGAGCTGGTTGAAGAGAAAACATTTTCTTAAACCTGATTATAGATGTTACTCAGTAGGTCATTTGAGATCCATCCCTAAGTTAAGGGTCTTCGGTGTTCTAGGTTCTGTCAGCAGAAGCTTAAGATGCAAATGTAAGAGTGACCCAGCTACAAGGTTTAGTGCCTAGAACATAGTAACCCCTTTACAAATCAGCATTAAATGAGTGCGCGTTTGCCACCCTGTTGATCGTCAGGACCAACTGACGTGGCCGACAGGATGGGTGCTCCCCTGCCCCCTTTCTTCTCCGTCTGCGTGTTCCTGAAGCTTTCAAGGCAGACAGTCTTTCCAGTCAGAAAAGCAACCCTTCTTAGTTCAGAGACTCCGGCACCGCTGATTCCAGCCCTCATCTTTTCCCCAGCTCCAAATAAACTTTATGGCTGAATATAGCAAATTGATACGTGCATGACCTACCCAATTTGTGATTTTTTTTGTCTCTGTCAGTTGAGTGGAAGGAAAATTGGCGACAGGTGTGTTCCCCTCCCATCAGACATTTAGATGGCTGTGTCAGAATGTCCTGGCAGCCATCCTAATCTTGCCCAGCAAGCGTTTGCCTGCCTGGCCCTTGTGTGTGTTTCTCTGCAGTCAGTCAGAATGGCCCCAGCAACTCAAAAGCCATTTCTGTTTTATAGAGAAAGGGGATAAAAGCAAATCCACTAGCTTTTCGCCTAGATTCCACAGGTTATTTTTCAGTAATTCAGGCATGCATTACTCTAGAACCTGACAACCACACTTTCACAATGGTCCAGGAGTTGAGGTGTTCATATACCATGTAAGCATTAGAAAGAAATCAGCTAAAAATATCTTTAAAAGGGTGAAAATTAGCTTCTAGTCATGGCTACAAATAGAATACTACTTAAAAATGATTAGCAAGTTACCATTTAGTTAATTGTTAGCTAATACCAAGAAATGCAGAGCCATTCACACACCTGCAGACAGAAAGGTGGTTGGTGAGAAGAGCAGTTAAAAAAGAAAAATACTAAGCTGAGTTTGTGGACTTTGGAAACTAGACAGGGCGATTTTGGCATTTGTTTCAGAAATGGGAACTCAACTGGTGAAGATTTCTGTGGTCCTTGGGGCTGGTGGTGACATCAGAGCTTTCCCATTTCCAGGTAAACATGAAACAGTTGCATGTTGGAAACATCAAAGTATGACATGGTGGGTTTTGGAGAGATCAGATGTAGCTAAGAGGGGAAATGGGAGGCAAACATTTTAAGTTTTGATGAATGTTTTCTGATGAGAAACTATCATGTGGGGAAACAATTTAGAAGAAACAGCAGCCAGATTCAGATCTTGCTTCCTACTTCCTGTCCCCTCGCCCCCCAATGCTTTAGGCATTCTTAGTCTTCTGGTTAACAGAAGATATGGGGAAAGAATGACATGGTCAAAAATCTATCTTCCTAACAGTTGGGGCACAAGTGCACCAACCAGGGATGAGTTGAACTGGAGGTAGCGGGGAGTTCTGAGAGAAAGCCTGGAGCTTTAGGGTGAGGCCTGAGGAGGTGGTTTCAGGGGAGAATTGCAGGCGGCTTCTGAAAAGGAAAGAGACTTTCACCCCAGCCAGCCATCATCTTACTTAATGAACACCCAGATGTACTGGGGTTGAGGAGAGAAAGTTCTTCCTCTATGGACTGGAATATAGTGAAAAAGGGCTCCTTACTGATCAGATGGAGGAAGTGTGGTAGACAGCTAAGGCCTTCATCTGTGAAACCAAATAACAGTCAGAGTTAAAAAAAAAATCCAATCAGTCATCAGGTTTCTAGACATCAGAATTTTAGTCTTTGTGTGGATCCAGATTCTTTCCTTAAATAAGGTAAAGGAATGTTTGCATTCTGCCCAATGATTTCAGTAAATGATAGAGTCATAATTAACTTATAGCAACAGTGAGGACATTCATAGTGTTATCTACGATAGTGAAAGAATGTATCCTTTTGTGGATAGTGGAAGCATGCCTGACTCTGCCTCGGCATATGGAGAACTTGCTCAGTTGTGTAGGAGTTTTGGACAAAGAACTTCGTGTCTCATGTCACTGTCATACACCTTGCATGAGGTCTTTTGATATTGCTTCTTAGTCGCTGGGCTAGTTTTTACCCATTCTAGCTCAGAGCTGAAGCTAGCCAAAGGGCCCCAGCCTAGCTTATTAGAGGTTATTTCCAGAAAGCCTCCTCCCTCTAGGGACTTCTGACATGAACAAACTGGAGAAGGTGCAGAGCTGGAATGGATTACCCAACTGGCTTAACCAAGAGAAAGGAAGAATACACTCTCGACTGGGGACTCAATTGGACTGTTTTGAGTTGTTGCTCTTGATTGGGCTTGGTCTCCTATGTGGTGGTTGAGATAATAGAATTTCCTTAATCTTATTACTGTACTAATTTCTGCATTCTACCAAATGTAGCATATATGTGTGGTTGGCTTCAATAAATTTTTCATTTAAAAATGAAAACAAGCAAAAGCAAGAGTTTGTAATGTAATGCCCAGATTAAGTAAAGGCCCTTGATAGCCTTGGTTGAGAGCAATGAATTCTATCCCTTAAAATCTAAGGGCCTTCTTAATTTGTGTAGTAGTTCCTTGATTGAATTGAAAATAGGATTTATTGAATTTTCTAATCCTGTCTCCCCCATTGACAATGCTATTACACGATTTCTTACACTGTCATACACAATTGTCACAAGTGTCCCCATAAAGCACTAGAAAGGTAAACTCTTTATGTGCACTGCAACTCTTATTTACACATGTCCTGAGTCATGAAATTCAAGGGAAGTTAAAATTATTCCAGATCTAGGAGGCAACTGTTTTACAAATGCAAAACAATTTGGTTAGATAAAATATTTGAAAACAATTAAAACCAAATCAACCTGTACTTTATCTGTGTGCTGAGATTTTAGGTCCAGTGGATCAGAATACAGGGAAAAAACTAATGAGAATCCCTCAATGGATCCTTCACCCACCAAACAAGATTTCTTCAGAAACCGACTTGCTCTTGCAAATGAGCTTGACCAAGGAACAGCTGTGTAAAACATACTTAAAGTTGTATTGTCAAGTGGTAAGATGAGGATAAAAAGCTTGTATATATCTGTGTAGGAATATATATATATATATTGATGTATAAATCCCTGAGGAAAACTAATATAAATACTTACATATGAAACTAAATCAACATACAAGACATTGAAGAGATGAAGATTAGTCTGTGGTTGAGAGCTGGCTCTTTGAACAACACTTGGGACAAGGGAAATGAAGACTTTTCATAGCATTACAAAAACACAATAAATTTGGAGGAAAATAAATGCTTGTAAGAAAACTTCTACTTTGAAGTCATTCCCCCAGTATAATATTGAGCATGTTCATATTTAACATGGATGTTATGCTTCAGAGGTATTTAGCTTATTCATTTCGTCTTAGACTAGTATACACCATTCTAGGGGCCAGTTCTGGCATGGCATATATCTTCAAAAAACCCCAAGGCAACACCTAACATCCCTTAAGGCACAGCATCAGTTAACACAATTGTATTACATGTTGCAAATACGAGTTGTGGAAAATTTGTGCTTAAACCATGACACAGAAGGTTCACAGCTTAAAGACATGTTGATATGCAAATAGGAAAAGACCTTAAGAGTAGTATTCCTCTTGTTTTATGGTTATGAAAACCAGTGCAGGGAATAATAATTCCTCTAGAAACCTCTAGAAACCGGGTGTTCAAAAAAACATTTTCCCTCATGTGGGTTGTGGGTTTTGCTGTGGATGGGAAAAAGTCCAGAGTCTATGTTTTATTAAATACTCAGGATTCAAAGATCTACCAGTGATCCTGAGTGTCACTCATACTCATGACCACGTGGACTGAGAAGAAAGCATTGATTTAGCCTCATTGTCTTAAAAGATGTTCTTCAGTCTGTAAAGAAGGTAGCAACAACGTCTATAATTTACTGGCTCACACACAGTGGTTGCTATAAACACCAAGTCAGAATGAAAGCTTAGGGCTAGCATTACCTTATTCTGTTTTCCAGAAGTAAGTTGAAAAGAAAGTTCTTACAGTACAGGCAGAAGAATTATTGCAATGAGGCTTGCCTGGCTATGGGGAAATAAAATGTGCTCTGTTTCCACACAGATATGGCCCAGATGGTCCTTGACATGCCTAGACTTCAGAATCATAATAGAAAACAATTAGATTTAAACACTCTGTCTCTATTTCTAGGCAGTTCTCTGTAATTTGGGGCATAGGTTACTACTATTCATCGAGAATCTTGGTACTGCAGCTGACTTCTCCAGAGGGCTGTTCCTCTAGTGATGTACTGTTTGATAAAGTAGGGGAAGTTTCACTTGTAAGTCTTACAAGTTTTCTTCTCCTTGTCTGATGACTAATCAGGAACTCATCTATTAGCATCTTGAATAAAAGGAGTCTGGAACAGTCACAGGATAACTGCCAGCTTTTTGGAGTTTCTGATATTTAATTTGAAGCCAAGCTTTTCATTTTTCTGAAATTAATGAACTCCTTTGAAATTAGATGTCTATTATCAGGCCACAGATGTTTTTGGGGGTCAGTGCTTAAAAGCATAGTGTGAAATCAACTGGACACGAAAAGTGAAACAGCAGACATAAGCTCGTAAATAAAATATTAAAAACAAAATTTCTTTCCCCTTCATATTGTTTATTATAGAAATGATCAATTAGTGGGAAGGTTTCAGAAATATCACACACCTCCCAAATTTTCATTCTGATAACATCCTTTGAAAAATCTTAATGCTACATTTGTAGCACAACTCCACTTAGTTGTATTTTAGGAACGTAACCTATAAAAACTAATCATAATGTTGCTGCTCTCTGGGTCTCAATCACCTGATATCTGGATTTTTTCCTGGTAGCTTTCCTCCTGCTCCCATCAATCTCACAGGTCTCTAACATCTCATTCCGAAATATTGCCTGTGTAAAACTCTTTGACTGTTCTTATTTGTCTACAGTCAAATTCCAAACTCCTTGACTTGACATTCAATCTCTATCCCTCCAGTACAGCTCCAGTTTTTTTCTCTGGCTCCTCTCTCCCTCTTTGCAGTCCGGGTGAACTACTGTACCTCAGCTAAACTGGGCTCTTATTATTTCCTGGCAAGCCATGCACCTTGCTCAGTTTCACTCCTGCTTCATGTCTTTACTCTGGCCTCCTTCTCTGCTAATCTTTAAGACCCAAATCTAAGCCTCATCTTTCTGTGGCCTCTTGTGGTGCAACTTGTCTATCTTTCGATGGGTATGTCTTGTCTTCCCAACAAGAATGTAAGACGCTGCAAGGGCAGGAACTATACCAGAGCTTTTGAAATTCTTTCCACCTCTGGAATAGTAGGTGCTCAGTAAATGGCTGATATCAACAGTAATGGGGGTGCTCTAAAAGAGACCACAGAAATTAATTTCTACTCATAATTTGTCAAAGAGTTTCAGGGTTGTCACTTTACTTTCCTGTCTTTTTAAAAAGAAAAATATCAATCACAAAGGAAATAAAATACAGTTGTCATCAGAAGCAGGTAAAGGCACCACTACCGCTTTCACAGTATTTGCATTAGAAAACATCTCTCCATTAAAGAAAACAGTTTACTGCTCTTCCAGGCTGTACTGGCTGATTTCATCATCTTTATAGGTAGCACTGTAAACTGAGGAAGGAGACATGATCTTTAATAATATTGATTAATGCTATTTAACTGATGTCACCCTAGGGATGAGGTCAGGGTGGGGAAGACTTGGGAACTGCTAAAACTTGTTGCCTCCAGTCCTCTGGAGAAGCATGGTTTACAAAGGAGACCACTGACAGCTTCTGCAAGTGTTTGAGTGGATTAGCAGAAAGAAGCACTCCACCAAAAATGAAGTGGGTATTTCTGCCCAGGCTGGGAGTGGCTACTGGTTCCTTCTGCATTCTTGTGAGGTCTGTATAGAACCCCAGGCAAGGATTGTCCTGCTTTTCTGATTCCAGAACTGGAACCTCATAGAACCAGGAGTTTATGGACTAACTTTCTGGGGTTCCATGTGGTGGGTTATTTCATCATAGTTTAAACTTCTTGAAATTACTGTCTCTTGCTTGCTCAAGGAAAACCCTTTGAAAAGTGTTTCTATAGCACCTCCTGTCATAATCACTCACCTCCTTCACGTCTGTACGAATATATTATCTTCCCTATGAGGGCACTTAGAAAATTGAAGATTCCTGGGTAACATTTCAGTTCCACTCTATTGTAATATTTCAGAGTGGGGCCCGTGAGTCTGCATTTTAAATGCACTCAGGTGATTCTTTGGCCCACTGAAATTTGAGAGCCACTACTTCAATTCAATAAATTGATTGAGTCAGTATATAAACCACAAAACTCAGTTTCTAAACACAGATTGACTTTTAGGACAGAATAAAGGGTTATACTTACCTTGAGTTACAGAAAACTGATAGTTCATGAAAACCCAAATGAATCTTTTTGAATTATTTAATTTAACATCTGTCCTCTACTATCATTTGATTAAAAATATATACATGATCAGTGTTCTTTCTAAGAAACTGGTAAAATTGTATATTCTGAATAATCTATTGCATGCACTTAGAAACATGATAAAATGAATGTCTTATATTAAGTGGTATAGTAAAATTAAGTCTAGTTTTCAGACTAGATTTTCTCTTGAAATATCACCTTACTAAACTTCCTTCCTGAGGCTAAAACAGGGATGCTCTGGGAACACTGGGGAGTCTCATATCCTGAGAGCTAATTTGACTTAACGATGTACATTCCCCACTCAGCCTAGGAGCATCTTAATATCTGTGCAGAGGCCAGTGAGTCTTGCATGGTAGAGAGGGGTTGAGGGAAAAAAGGGGAGACAGTTTTTCAAAAAGGAAATAGATTAAAAGAAGGTTGAGAAAACTGATGGGAGAGACACTTCTATATTTTAAGGGAAAAGTTTAGAAATTGATGTGTGACACTAAATTTTAGACACATAAGAACGAAAGAATGTGCTGTAAGCACTGCTGAAAGTACTTTTTTGGGAAATTATCAGACATTTGAAATAGTATTTTTGTACTTAAGCCAAATAACTTGCTTCCCAAAATTTATTGTTGCTTTCAAAGAGCTTAGTGCATAATCTTTAATAAGTTATCAAATGTGTTAAATATCCTTTTAGAGATATTTTTATTCCTTCTTCTTGTTTCATTCCTTTCAGAGATAGTAGCATTCAGTGCTCCTAATCCTTATCAGGAAGACTGGATGTGTGTTTCTTCCTCACGTATATAAACCTGTTCATCTGAAGGTTGTGGTATCTACTGTAAAGGGCTGGTGTGGGTCCCATCTGCGTTTCTAAGTGGTCTGTTTCCACTTAGCGCTAGAGCCCATTTCCTCTTCTCATTATCATATTTTCCTTTACCACTGGGGCAAACCCTTTAGCATACAAACACGCTTTTATTTCTCTCATTTTACAAAAGAAACTTGATTGCTCTAACTCTGTCTCAGTTCTCAGGCTTCCTTTGATGTAAAACCTGAAAGAGGAAACCCTTCCTTTCCTCCCATTCCATAGCACTCCCCTGACCGCTTCTGTCAAGGGCGCTGGTGATTTTCACCCTTGCTAAACGAATTCTGTCATTTTATTCCCCATGTCAAATAGCACTGGACATGCTGATCACTTCCTTCTTCAGAAATCCCTTCCGTACTGGGCCTCAAGGACACAACGGGCTCCCCATTCTCACCTCCATTCCTTCCTGGTCTGTGTGGTGGTTCCTCCTCTCTCCTCTTTCGTGTTACGATGCCCGAGGGCTCTCTGCTTAAGTTTCTTCTTTTTCCAGTCTGCGCTCTCTTCTTTGGTGATCTTATCTGGTTTGTTGCCTTTACTATATACTGTTTATGAGAGTGACTCCCAATTTTATATCTCCAACCGTGAACTCTCTCTGACTCCAGACTCACATTTCCACCTGCCTCCTGGGCACTTCTCAGATTCTTCTGTATTTATTGAAGCCCAAGCCTGTTTCAACTGAATCTTCCCCACTTCAGTTATTGATAACTTTGTCCTTC